TCCACCCCACCGGTTCACCCCGAAGATGGAGCAAGAGGGTGTCTCGGTAATGCAGTAGGTGTCGGAGCTGCAAATGCTATCACTAAGTCACTTTATGTCACTTTGTGATGCACCCATGCCTCTGCTCTTCTCGACGCTGGCGCTCCTCAAGTGTTTGGGTATTGAGCAGAAATTCTACCGCACAGCATGTTTGATTGTGTTGTCAAACCTGCATACAAGGAGTCCATCACTGGCTTCAAGGAATGGAATGCGTGGTCGTGGCATGTAATGTTTCCATATGTTTCCGAGCTGTTGGCCTGCTGCGGGTTTTTGAGGAAGTTTCTTGCCTGAGACAATGGCGTCAAAGAGTTCCGTGCTCCTTTGGTGTTGCCAACATGCCGGTAAAACACCAAAAGCACCTTGAAAGAATAGTTGCAAACACGTTGTAATGCTCTGATCCCTCTGTATGTAGCAGGGGACAAGACACTGCATTAAGGGTGCTGCAGAGATATAAGCTTCGCTGTCCCGAAGCTTCATGATCTCCTTGCCGATCCTCAGACATGACATCTAGATCTTCTTCTGGACTCTGAAGGTTCCAAGTGGCATGCTTGGTTTCAACCGTGCAATCACCTCATAGATGATGTTTGATGCGTTTGATGTTTACATGTTAAAAACTGTTAAAACATATTCACTAAATTAGTTTGAGAATATCAGGACATTCGTGAAGGGATGCCAAAGGTATTTCAAACATGGTGGTCATTCATTTTTCATGCCGGACAGTCTCCCTGCTGACTTCTGAGTTGCATGCGCAGAGCGCTCTTTCTTGTGGCTGGGCCCTGAGAGCCTTCCTTCAACAGCACAAAGTTCCTCCAAGCGTGCCTGGCCAGCTGCGAAGGCTTTTTGCATCGAAAAGCAATCCCCTACGCAGCTCAGTCGGATGCGTTTGCGGAGAAGGCCCATTGTTGAATACAACTTCCTCAACTTCTTCTTGACTTGTTGATTTAGAAAGTGCTGCATGTGCTTGTGATTTCGTAGGCATGTTCTTCATAGCTATAGTTATTCATTGTCGTTCGGTAGCTCTTCCTTTCATCATACGTCCATAGATTTCTGCTACAAGCAATCATTTGAGGATATCTTGATGTCAGTTTACGTTATGCTTATGTCGGCCTTTGCTGCAGGGATCTGCCAATCGTCACCCGGCTAGCTGCCTGTGTTTCTTGCACGATGAGCTGAGCTTCCTGCTGCTCGTGGGCCTGTGCTCTTTGTTCTGCTTGTGAGGTCTCCAAATTTGCAAGCCCAAAAGAAGTATGTACTGCATACGGTGCGATGCCTCTCGCAAGCTTTCCAACTTTGCTTGAGCAGCACGAACTGGTGCTCCCTCCTCAAAGGTACAGGAATGATCCAGCTGTAAACTCACCGCCATGGCTAAGCCTACTTGTGAGTAACCCTGTATTAGCTTGAGCAGCCATGAGCAGACTTGAAGAGCACGACGGTCTTGAAATGAACTGGCTATTCAACAAGCAGACTCATTCCAGGATCTAGTCAATCTCACCCTCACCAAACCAGAGTGTAAACGAGGGGTTGATCACTTTGTGTAAATAGTCCATTTATGTCTGAGTCGCTGGAGCGTATGGTTGTGTGCGGTTGTGTGACTGATAAGCCAACTCAAGTATGGGAGTTGTCCAAAATTCCGTCTGACAGAGGATGACAGAAGCAACCCATGTTTCACACATTTCAAGAGGTTTGCTAATCCGGTGCGACATTGTGCCACCCTTTGAAACACATGTGCTATGTAATCCTTAGCTTTCGCGCAAGATGTTGCCCTGGAGTTTTTGCTGATCTTTCGTAATCAAAAACCAACTGTTTACTGCCGCACACTTCGACAAACTAGAGAAGTAACGCGGCGACGAACAAAGGCCGTGGAGATGTCGCGGGTATTGAAAACCAAACTTTTACAGCAAATAGACCTTGCGGATCAGATCACGCCCATATTGAATTAGTTATTGTATGTTTTTGTAATATTCACACGGGTTGGTTGTGATGTCCCGAGAGAAAACGATTCAACACAATAATTGATTTCTCATTGGACAATAGGAACCAACCAATGAATCATCCCACACAAAACCATCCCAGAGATAGTAATTTGCGTTTGGTTACATGGTTATATTTTGTTTGTGGCTGAGAAAGTGTGTGATTATCAAAAATGCACTTGTTATATATATAATTTGTCTGCGCTGTTGATGTTTGGGCACAGTATGGTTCTGGCTGCAATTGCACGTGCAATACAAGGATTCATGTTTTGTCCTCGGCCAAGCCAGCTGCAAGTCCCTCTTCAAGTGCCTGAAAAATTCAGAACACGTAGCCTTGCCATGCCTTGCCCACATGTTTGATATCATGTGATATCACACTCACGATCTTGCCTTGCCACAATTCCATGGGCAACCAAAGCAACCAATCACGTGCCAGGTCATGCCACACAGCGCCTGCTGGATTCGGTCCCAGTCCCCAGCATCAACCGCTGCCTGAGAAATTCCGAGGCATAATGACAACTCCAGATTTACAGTTTGTTGAAAACAAGATGTCACAAACCTTGAAAGTGTTTTGGATTTGCCACATGACAGCCTAGGGGCTTAATTACTGGCTTACCTGAAACGAACCCACCTGCTTGATTTGCTTGTTTATTCCACCAGCAAAGCCGGGGGTCTTCAACCGTGGTTGCCCAACAGATCCCAACAGCGAGAGTCCGGAACAAGTTCCGGAGCAACTTCCGAGCAGATTCTGGAGCAGAATCCGGAGAAGCAGGTACCGAAGCCGATTTTAGCGCAAGTTGCAAATGGGTTCTGCAATTTTTTGACCCTGAAATTTTCCGAGCAGGTTCCGAAGCAGGCTCTGGAGCAGGTTCGGGCGCAAGTTCCGGACCAAGTTCTGGAGCAGGTCCTGACATTGATTGTCACGGCGTTGTGCTGAATTGTCATCGTCAATCGTCATCATGGCACGGTGTCGCGCTGACACGTTGCCATTGCGTCAGCCTGCCACACTCGCGTGGTGGGCGACTGTCCCACCGACATTAAACCGAACCGTTTTGCCTTTCTGTCGCGCTAACTCGCAATCAATCGCAATCATGCTGCCACGCTGACGTGCTGTTTGTTGACACCCTAGGACGCCTTCATGCGCACATGCTGAGCTGACACGCATGGTGTCATGATGGCATGTTGCATACAGTGTTTTCATGTGGACATGTGAAGACACGCTAACATCTTCCATAGTCTAGAACATCCTAGAACGTTCTACTCGCGGGCGCATGTTCTACGCTGTCCCGCTGACACACTGTCACGCTGGCATGCTGGTAGACTGACGGGTCACGCTAGCACGCTGACGCTTGTCACGCTGGGACGCTGACATCAGGTCATGTTGTCGCGCTGACATGCTGGGTTTGAGAGCGGGTTCCAGGTGCCATGTTTCTTGCTTGTCGCAGCGCTGTCATGCTTGCTAATACGCGGACACACAAGATGCCACGCGGTGATGCCTAAATTGCACATTGAAAGGAGCCACGTGCTTCAAAGCAGCACTGTCCGGCTGTCCGGGAAAAACACGCCCCTGATTAAAATAGTAACTTACACTTTACAATGGCCCCGGCCATGTAGGCGAATTCATGCCCGACTGTTGGGGATTGGATAAGTTTGGCTTCGTCGTCTTCCTTGGACTAGATTCCCAGAGTCCTTGGAACAGTGAGCGAGAGCAAAGCATAGATGAAGGAACCAACATGTTTGGGAGCCAGGTCCGAGCAAGATTGAACAAGTCTCTGCAAGAATGAAACCAATGATTTCCAGACCCTGTCCAAGAGCGTGGCTTGTCAACATGACAAAACCACTTGTAATGTGCGTTATTTGTCATCCACCTGGGTGTGCACAAGGGATTTGAACCGTATCCTTTCTTCCCCAAACAGCGTGGTCACACTGGTATAGGTGTTAAGGGCCGGTGTGTCGCGTCGCGTCCGCCTAATCCGTTGCTATTTACAATACATTCATGCCTCTCGACATCCTCGAAGTGTGTTTCGACTGCGCAGGCTCGCAAAAAATTGCGCTCTCGTAGTGGCGCCGCGCTTGTTTTCGGACATGTGGTCACTTTTCGTGGCAGGCGCAAGGAAAACCTCGTGCTTTGGTATAGGCCAAAGTCAACTTTTCACGACAGGCACAAGGGATCGGAGCGGTTTTACTTCGACGCGCTCATTTCGTGACAGGTGCAGTGAATCGTGACTTTTCTACATGTGTCTGGTTATCAGAAACCGGAGGAAGTCTCGCGCGAAAGCTGCGTTTTGGTATCTGGACGTTGTCTTTGGAAGCGTTCTTGCGGCGAAACGCCTTGGCAGGGCTGCCGCATGTGAATCTTGAAGTGCCAGGCGCAGCACTTTCTGAACCTCGAAGTGCAGACTTCGCGGCAGGCGCAGTACTTTTGTGAACCTCGAAGTGTAGATTTCGTGGCTCACTCTCTCTCTCTCTCACACTCTCTCACTCTCACTCCACTCTCACTCACTCTCACTCTCACACTCACTCTGACTCACTCTCACACTCACACTCACTCTCACTCACTCTCACTCATTCTCACTCACACTCTCACTCACTCACACTCTCACACTCATTCACTCTGACTCACTCTCACTCACACTCTCACTCACTCTGACTCACTCTCACTCACACTCTCACTCACTCTCACATTCACTCACTCTCCCACTCAGACTCACTCCAATCACTCACTCTTGGCCCCACTCTCAGTCTCACTCTCACAAGACCCCGGCCACCACCATCACCACCACCACCATCACCATCCACCACCACCATCACCACAATCACCTCTCTGGACCCCAATGCGTCTAGATCTCTAGACTTTCTGCTGCTACACCTCTAGACCTCACACACACTGCTTCGGGTCTCTTGCCGGGATAACTACTAATATTTTTCCGCCACGTTTACTCTTTGTCATCTTTCCCTGTGCGGAAGCTGTGCATCGCTTGCAGCATCGCAGCTGAGCATCAGCACAACGAGAGCTTCTGCAGACCTCCTCCGCAGGGCGGCTTCGGCTTGGCGTCTGGCCTCCTCACAGATAAAAGGCATAGTTCACTTGAATGCGAGAAGGAAGATGCAATTCCATGCTGGAGCCGGAGCATTCAACTTACATGAGAATATACGAGAATCAGGTTACCGAAAAAACACAGAGGAAGAAAAAGAAGGTACAAGCAAGGGCCTCTTCCAACTCCACGCAGATTTGCTCAGCCTTTTGCATCACAGGCTCCTCTGTTGCATGTTGAAACCGTCCCCACTCTTCCCACATCTTCACACTACCCACTAATCCCAAGTACCTATTTAAAAACGGACCCCAATTAAAGAAGTCATGTCGGAACCCCCTAAATACGGTCTATATTCGCTTTAAACTTAACTACCGCCCTTTAAAGCCGCTACTAAACTACCAACATGGCCGATGTTGGAGGAGTTTGTTTTATGAGGTTTCAAAAACAACCAATAGAGGTTTTTGCAGGGGAAAAGGAAGACCCTTCGATCTGGAGGTTTTTTGAATTTTTGATACGCGTGTAATAAAGGATTTGATATAAAATTGTCCTGGGTGATTTTTGGGTTTTGAAGCTCTTCCAGGTGACCCTATTTTAGACAATCAGGGACCCCCTATTTTAAAAATGCGACCGAGGTTTCCTTATTAGGGGGGGACCGTGTTTTTTAAAAGGTGGACAGGATTAGAATCCATAGAGTCTCATCTGGCAGTCTCGAAACAAACGCCTTGGCTCAAGTACAATTCTCTCCTCACCAAGCAGCTCACTCTGCGCCTCCAGCAAGGCCTGGTGAGTTCGGGGCAAATGGTCAAAGCTCTTTTTTTAGGGCAGGCAGCAGCTTGCAGCACCTCAGGCAGCCTGATGCGATGCAGGCAATTATATAATAGATACATGAATCAGGTGTATATATAATACTATATAATGACATTTATATCCCTTTTGAACAGCAGCAGCTGCCTTGACAATGGACCGACAAGAACAATTCAAGAGTTTGTTGTGGCTTCGCTTCATTCATCTCGATCCTGTCTCGTCTCGCGATTGAATGACAAGGCAGGCGGTTAAATTCTGGATTCATGGGCTATATAGATGTGAGCACAACACACACGCAAACTATAGAATGCCTTCAAACACTTCTTATATACAGTGGGTTTGTCACCTTATCTGACAGCTCGCTGGGTGCCAAACCTGCTTCAGCCCTGACAGCTCGCGCTGCTGAATGGCCTTGAGTCGGATTTAAACTAACTTCTTCTCAAGGCAAATAGGTGGAGGTAAGGAAGATAAGAAAAAAGAGAACGTCATGATCGAAACGGTAGAGACTTACTTAAATGCCAAGGCAGTCAAGGTCTAGAAACCTGCCTGGTTCACCATTTCGCACAATCTCTGGCGTATTGCTTCCTGAAGCATGCTTCTCTCCACCAGGATCGCGTTTCCAGTTAAAACATGTTCAGCAGTGCAGCACTGCAAGATCGCTTGCAAACGAAACAATAAAAAATAGAAAAAGGCTTCAGAGCCAAACACTGTGACAACTCACCTGATCCTGCAGCTCCTGCAAGGCATCCTCAGCATCCTGGCATTGGCCCGCTCATTGCTGCATGGTGTGACAATCCCAAAACACAAGCACGCTATGGATGTCAAGTTCATGGAAACTCTGGCAAGTCCGTCGTCCCAAGAATGAGGTAACATGGTGCAAGGTGCCTATGAAATCCAAACAATGTAGAGCCCATGAACATCTCAACAATGTGAGCATGTCATCCAGGAACGTCCCAAAGTGTCAAGTGCCATGCTTCCCTAACAGGGCTCGCTTTCCTGCAACCGTTCAGCAGGTAGTCCCACCTTCCAAGAGACCAACAAAAACACTGGCAAGTACATGCACACACCGTCGGCGAGTCACATAGCTCCATGGAATAGGTAGGCAATGCGTTTAGGCCTTTACCTCATTGTTGTGGGGGTTGCCAATGGAAATCAAGCAATGCAAACGTGTCTCCAAACAAGCCTTCTTTGCAGCATCCAAACCGGTTTGGAGTCGTCGGGTGTCTCGAGCATTGCAGGCCAAGCACAACCTGGGTTGGCAGCACGACCGAGCTAAATGTATCCCCATTCGGCAGCGCATCAACGAATACTGAAGCAACACAAATACTGCACAAAAGAGCTGAAGCAAATTCAGAGCAGCTCAGCGTATGCCATCTCGCGGCGTTTGGCCAACGCCTCCATGGCAGCCACTTTATCCTCATGAGGAAGATGGAGCTGTGCAACTGTTTGGCAGTCATCCCTTTAGGAACTGTTTGTGCCACTGTTCGTGCAACGCAACTGTTTATACTCATTGTGTCATTCCTCCTCACACTCTTAAGTTTCCATCCTCAGCAGCTTGAAGTACTGTGGACCTGTCAAGCATTCTGCAAGCATCCACGGCTTCTACGGTTTGCTGGACCCTTCGCACATCGCGTCAGAAGACTCTGCAAAACTGAAGTGGTGTTGCTCTTGTTTTGTAGGTTCTCCCCTCCCCTGAGGCACTGACTCCAGCTTCGACCTTGCTGGGAATGGAGAACTAACTGAAGAAGCACTTAAATGGATGGGAGTCTCAATTGCTTCCATAATGATCGATCAATCCTACAAAAAACAGCCTTCTTTGGAATTGTTGTGTGCAACTTGAACTTGTTCTTCTGTGTTGTTGTCAGGCATGAAGGGCTTATTATTGCTAGATGGGTCGAGCTTCCCAGGACGCCCGGCCCTAGTTGAGCCCGAACATTAAAAAGCACAAAACGGACTATATAGCAGCATCTACCAGCGATGTGAACCTACCACGGTTTTGCGATGTTTGGTATTGACCAGCAATTTGGAGACAGTGTCTAGCCAACAAACTCCTTGTCCTTGCCTGGCATGCGCGATAGCCTCTCTCACTTCACATGGGTCTTCAGCCTCAAAGGCAGCCTCACGGGAATGCCAAGCTATGTTTCCATGTCAGTCACCCGTTTCAGTAGATTGGGCACCAAAATCTTGAACAGCTCGCCATTCATTATATATCATCTTATTATAACACGCAAGCACCCAAGGCGCTGAAAAACAAGACTGCACCCTCGAGCAACTCCTGGACTATGGAGCGAAACGGAGCGAATAAACAAAGGATAGCAAGAAGTGTCGCGTGCCACTGTGCAGCTTGTGGTGACCTGGTGAGCTCTCTACTATGTACAAAGTGATTCGCTGAAACTCCCCGCGTGATGATACATGGAGGCGCATCACATCAGCCATCCCACCACAGCATCAGCGTGTCTCTTCACATTCTCACTCCTGAGAATGTGTTGAACTTGCTTTTTAAATTGCTTGAAATCTTACTTGCAGGCAAATGTCCTTCACCATCTCCCCCCACACAAAAGTCTCCGGCCCTGGATCCAAGGCCTGAAGTCTTTGTTCAGCTGCTTGCTTTTCAGCTGCCTGGCGTCGGTCGCAACGAAAGCAAGTTGCTAGCAGCAACATGCTTAGTTTCTTGTGAATATCGGAATCACTGAAGTACAGCGTGTGGCATACATGCCCTATCTTGAAGATTCTTGCACTGTAATTCTTGGCTGCATATTCTGCAGCCCACCTCAATCCTCCACTTCCGCAAGGTTTCATCAGCACCTTCACTTGTTCGAAAGCTCAAAAATTGTCAAACGTACTTGAGATAAAACACTGGTATGATTGGCTTGAAAAAAATAAACCGCTCTGTGCGTCTGTTTGACCTATTCGCCCTTAGCCTCGGAGGGGCAAGTGCAGCTCTTTGCAAAGGAGCACCGCCTCTTCTAAAAGCACCAAGTCCTTCAAACCAGCGTGTGAGTGTAAATATATATGTATTACGTGTGTATATATATATACACATCACATAACGGCAGAATGTGACGAACAAAGCTTTCCCCTGTTTTAGGCAGGTCCTCGTCACAACTGTGAACCCTGATAACAATGACTCTGTGAATAGGAATTCTGAGGAGAAAAATAAGGATCATCAGGATGTGATTGCGCAGCCATTTAGGACGCAGGCCACACACACCTGCCTGTTCAGCCAAGGCCTTTTGCAACTTCTGCTTCGCCTGAGAGTTGGGACAATCAACTATTATTTATAGAATCTTATATATAGACAAACAGTGTTCGGATCACCATGAAATTTCCCTGTTGCACTCCGTATTACCATGGGGACCCCATAACTACGTATATATATATATTTACAGGGCTAGGCATAATTGCAGTTTACATCATCATTACCAGAGGTGGTGTGCTGTCCATGCCAAGCCTCAGCTTCCTTCTTCTCCTTCTCTAGCAATGCCTCAAGGACGTGAAACAAATCTAGAAAACAACAAGGGGCTTGGCCAATTTGTTCGATTCATCTCTGTTTTGTCCAGGGGAACCAGGGCAATCATGGAGAAACAATGCACTTCATACACAATTTTTCACCATATATATTTGATTGACCCAACCGAGCCCAATGTTTGAATGCCACTCTTTTTTCCGTCCAATTCGGCACATCCTCCACCACTGCCATTTGCCGTATCGATCCTTTCGAAATATGTTTGTCCTCGCCAAATGTTGAATATTGTTGTTCACTCTTGGCCTGATTCTCCCAGAAGAGTCATCCATCGCTGCCATTTCCGCATTCCCGTCGAATGAAAGTGTCCGGATGTGTCATGTCGGCATTGCTCTGACCGCTCAACTTGTGGCCACTCGAATTGACATTTGCACAGTCTCTCTTGGATCAGCGTCTCTTGGAGCAGCGTCACGTAAACGGTCGGTAGGTGTTGTAACGCTGTGCCAATCCTGGAGACATGTGCAGCTTCGTGATTCAGTGCCAGCATCTTTTCTTTGGACTTCTCCGTCGCTGATTTTCCGTCGAGAAGGGCCAGGTTGGACATCGTGCAAGGCAAGGATCATAAGGATCGACTTCCGAATACGGAGCCTCTCAAGCTCCGGCCTCGAAAACCACGGCTAAGAAATTAAAAACATATATAGAGTGTGTCAGTGTAAAGTGTGACCTGAAAGTGATCAACATGCCACAGCTCTCCGGTCTACACCAACTCAACATGAAATCCATAAGCCCTCCGCGGAGTTTAGCACCCAAGGGACGAATCAAAGCAAAGGCCCGGAGACGCACATTTTTTTGCAGGAATACCTTGAGATAAAGTGATTGTTGTCCCAGTTATTTGCTAAAGTTTGCTGGCAAGTCAAACAAGACGGAGCCCGTGAACCCGAATGCACACACGCACTCGAAAACCATTGTTTGATATTGCTTGACACTCCTGTGGGACACTCTCGCGCGACACTCCAGCACTCTTGCGCGACGCTCTTTTAGGACACTCTTGTAGGAGACACTTTTGTGGCAACCTCTTGTGGAACATTTTGGTGTGACACTCTTGTGGGACACCCTTGCGTAGGGCTTTGAGCGATCACCAAAAACAAGGCCGAAACACAAAAACCCAGGTGTAGGCCATAACCCTACAAACTGCCACACCATTTCTTTCCTGGCGCTTGTAGGTCGGCATCGAGGGGTCTCTCCCCATGGACCCTCCATTTCCATGATTTGAGTGTCACAAATCTTCTTGCTTGGAGGTTTTTTGTCCACGCATGATTGCATTCAGTTTTTTTTGCTGATAGTCGGCTCAACACGTTCATTGCTCAACACGTCGCTGGTGCAGCTCAATATGATAGAGAAACTTGGAAGGAAACGGGTGAAGCTAGATGCAGTGAACGCCCGGGCTGAGTCCGGCTGGCGCCCGCTTCAGTGCCACGCATGCATTCAGACAAAAGCACACTTGTCAACATTCTTCGCAATGAGTTCATGGGAAACACACGATTTTGTCAAAGAGAAAACCCAACAATCAAAGTCTTCTCCCGTGAATAAACTCTGCTGGGGCGCGTTGCTGGGGGAATTTCCATGTATGGTTTCTAAATCGCATATCATGCGAAGGTAGTATACCGATACCAACATCATCCAACAATGCAACCATAACATAAACAAGTCAGTGTCTAGCATCTAGAGGGCCTTGGCCTCTATGTTTGGCCTTGATTCTCGCTTTACAGATGTCAGCCTTTTAGAACCCTGCTGTGGGACACTCTTGCTGGACACTCTTGTAGGAAACACCGTTGTGGGAGTTTCTTGTGGATTGCACTGGCTCAAGCGAGAGTAGAGATAACAACTAACTCCGAAAACACAAACACCTGACACAAAAAAATCAAGTAGCTAAGCTATCGCAAATACTTGGGTGAGAGCTTTGCGCGCGCGTAGGCCCAACAAATCGCCAATCAGATAGGCAAACAAGTGGGAGGCTCACGTTCTGAAGAGCACAGAAGAGACATGTTGCATATGTACTGCTCCTAGAAAAATATAATGTTGCGTGTCGAATACTGTAGAAGCACACGCGCGCAACAAAAAAAATCACGCGCAAAAAACACAACTGGCAAAATCGTACGCGCGGCTTTTGCGCGCGCGCAATACAGTTCCTAGGTTTCACCAGCATCGCGCGCAAGCCTCTTTCAGGTCAAAGCAAGGGCAACGCAGAGCTAGACTTTCGAAACGCAACATGGCGGCACTGCTCTGGAGTCCCCGCGTTCTCAAACAGATCCTGTATATCAGACGCGTGTTTCATTCTACAGATGCCATACATTGCGCCCCATCACAACAAAAACCATAAGCAGGGCAACTAAAATACAAGAACCACATCCTTAGCGTGGAACTCCAAGAGTGATTCTTACTTGTTCGTGTGTCTTGGAGTCTTGGAATGTCCCGGAAAGAAGTGGCCAGACTGGTATTTGTGAGCTGCCTGCGCTGCTGGCTTGCTGACCCAGTTTGCAAACATTTTCTACAGCTGAAATATTATGCCCACTGGTAGCTACAGTCCGCGACGTCTTTGCGGTCACATCTTGTTTTGGGAGCTTGCACGGCGCCCGTGCGCTGGGGAAAATCCCCTTGAGTTTGTTGGCTCACCCGTCAAATTCCAATGCAAAAATGGATTCCAAGTGGATTTGCTGAAATCTACATTGCCCAGCTTGGCTGACCACCCTCACGCTGCGTCTCAACCTTGGGAAATGGAGAGACGCGCTCCAGCGGCTATGGTAGAAAAGCAGGGACCTGGGAGGCCTTTGTCTGTGACCTTGTATGCAATGATTGAACTACCGCCAGAAACATGAAAGGCACGCGCAGCGGCGCAGCACGCCTCAACCAAAGCATTGCTATCTAGAACGCCCGTCGGAGCGCCATTTGTCAATCCTTTGGCGTATATATAGTTCTCCCTGTTTTGACGCAAAGAACTCATGTTGCCAACACCTGAGGCTTGCGCCTGCCCACGCCCGCAGTCCATCAGGCTGCAAGCTCAAGACCCGTAGGACCCTGTGGGACAGCATGTCTCTGTGGATCTCTCAAACCTTGGCTCCACCCGCGCAACTGAGTTGCTGTTTTAGTGGCACCTCGGCAGGCTGGAAGGTGTCACCCTCATGGCCATCTGCGGCCTTCACCCCTTTTGGGCGGTAGAGGGCGCGCTCGCTGTTGAGACGGCGCTCGTCTGCGCCCTTCCTTAAGTTCCAGCTTAAACGCAGAGCCTTGCGTCCACCTGATCCTTCACCTTTTGCCGCGGAGTGGTACCTCAAGCACTTTGGTTTGGAGGCTGGAAGTGTGACTTTGCTGGGTCAGGTAGTGCGCCTTCTGTGGCACCCTTGCTTGCCATTTGACCTGACAGGATCTTCAAATTGCCACCATCATCGCGCAAGTATCTCTGGACTGCCGCTCTACACCACTTTCCGGCCCTCTTCACGACCTCCACTTCTCCAGTGGCTTGAAAAAAGCCGCCTGAGTTCTTCGCAGCACCCTTCCTGAAGACCACTGGGACAAAGGCTTCCAGCAAAGATGGTGGGTAAGTTCCTCATCTTGGAAAATGGCTCCATGCAAGGGTTGCCCCCCAAGAATGTTGAGGGAAAATGGTAAGTAAAATCATCATCCTGGAAAATGGTTCCACGCAAGGGGTGTCCCCCAAGAATGTTGGCGAAACATAGTGGGTAAGTTCTGCAGGATGGGTGTAGTGGATGATGATGCTTTGTAAAGGATAGTCAAGGCCTCTCTCCAAAATGAATCGTGGGACACTCGTGCACATTCTTGTGAGGCACTCTTGCGGGACTCTCTGGGTCTTAGTCTTGCGCGAGGCCCCTCTCTTGTGGGACTCTTGCTGGAAAAGCTTGCGCGACGCCGTTCTAGGGCGCTCTTGTAGGAGACCCTCTTCGGCGACACACTTGTGGCAAACTCTTGTGCGGCTTGTAAGCCGGACAGTCGTGGAACACTATCGTCGGACACTCCGTGGGACACTCTTGCTTCATAAAAGCAAATGCGTCAAGTCTCCAAGCCGAACGCTTCACACGAGATGTCCTCCAAAACTCACGCATCAAGTCTCCAGAATGAGCGTTTCAAACGAGACTCAGACTCCCTCCAAAAATTACACGTCAAGCCTCGAAAAGGAGCACTTCGTACGAGACTTTCGCGAAAAGTGAAGAGGGAAGTCTCACAGTTCCCTGCAGGTGGCACGAAAGTTCAACTTCCACACCTCCAACATGCACAACGCACTGCGCCTGACACGAGGCACCACTACCTCACATCTTGACGTCTTGAGCAAGCCACACGTTTGGACTGACTTCGGCGCTTTCTGAGCACACTCTCTTCCACCAAAATCACGGCTTTAGCTGAGACCTGTCACAAAAAACACAGCTTTGAGGCAACAGCCTGAAACGCCAATCCCAATGGCACAGCGAAGGAAACTGAGGATCTCACTAAACGCTGCACCTGCGCAGCAAAATCATCCTCCACACTTCCACATGTTACGTTTCTACGCTATTTCGCACGAATCTACGCTTCAGGCTTCCATCTAAAACCTCCAAAACCATTCCCCAATGGCAGGGCCTCATCAATCACATTCGGACGGTGCGAACGCGAAGCCAACGTCACACAAACACGGCTCTACCCCAGATTCCCAGAGACAAACGGAAACCCTTGGCTACGCGTTTAAGAAAAAAACAACAAAAAAAAACAACAACAACAGCAACAAAACAAGGCAAGCCCTAGTGTGGTGCAGTCAAGGCGCTAACACACAAGTTGCCGCAAGCAATGTCAGGATACCTCCAAGGTTCTCCGGCGATGTTGGTCTATTTAACCAAGCACGAATTCCAAATCTCAAGAACCAATATCGCGCCTTTCATCCACCTCACCTGTCCATAGCATGTCTGATGGTAACAGAACTCTGACTGACTTGATTGCATTACCTTCAAGTTGAAGACCTGTGCAACAGTGCCACATGCATGCTTTTCTTCGGTATACCAAGTCGCCTCCGCGGTATGATGTTTTACCCTCAGCATGTCAAGGCGATTTTGGGTTGCTCCCGCAATGCTTGCAAACAATCGAAAACACACAAAAACCTCTGGCCCTATCTGAACTCCGCCACGCCACGAATACTTTGCATCATCATTGTTCAGCCAAGACCTGCATGTGCAAATCTCCATGAGATGAGACACGCTTGATCGGCACTTTTCCAAACCAAGAAAAGCCAAGGCCCTGCAATCTGCTGAAGAATTAAAATTGTTTTGGCAAATGGTTAGTGTGGATGATGCATGATGATGCATACTATAAAGTTAGCTCGAGAAACTCCACAGAAGGGCCACCGATGGCCACCGTCGAAAATTCTTGCACTTCTTTCATTTCTCCAAGTCGGTCTTACTGGCGCCTGCCTCAGCTCTCGATAGGAAGCAAATTCTGTCTCCAAGAAACCCCTCCATCGATGCTGGAAGAGATCTTGAATTGACTTGGGCAGCTCCTGTTCACACCGAACAAATTGCCAGGAACAACCGATGCTCAAGCCAAGCTCCCTGCAATAGGTCACTAGTTTCACAGGACTGCCCCATGGCCCTTCATATTTAAGTAAGTCTATATCTTCTCAAGAACTCTATTCTAGCATTGTATTGCTTGCGTAGCTTGCACAAGAACTACTTTCTATGCCCTGCAGTCCTGGCGGCTGATCTCTGTCATAACCTTCGGGATCCTTGGAGTTCGGCCGTATGCTTTGACGTCCTGCTGATTGAGGGCGAGCATGGAAGCAGGAACAACTCTTCGGATGCAACTCATGACATCTCATGACCAACTATGTCCTGCTTGAACGGAGGCAAGTGCTTCAGCACAAAGTGGTCATCAAACTTGGAAAGATGTTCCTAGCCAGGAATTTGTCGCAATATACTACTTTCCGTAAGAGTAACCAACCGAGTGAGCGAAGACTGGATAAATAGATCTGAGCTCGGTATAGAATGTCTGAGTGGACAAACCGGATAAAGGCAAGTTCTTGCCTTGCCATTTGCTGGTATGGTGCCGAGTGCCTGCATGAATTGTCGGGTGGACTGCGCTTTCACCCGATTCAGGAGATCTTCGGAGATCTGGCGATGTGGTAAGATAAAGTGCGCAATCCTGCCATGTCAATTCAGAAACCATGGAAACTGAGAAGGTGCATTCTTCCAGTAATTATATGTTCCTTTGCAATTGTCCTGCACTCATGGTCACAATTCCAAGGCAAACTCAACAATCAGCAAATAGTTAGAGTAGAAAAACCGGTATCAAACGAATCCTCATGCAAATGATGCAAGTGGGTTTTCTCGATGGGGAAAGCACGGAACGGAACAGCAACAATCGGGACATCTTTTGCTACTAGTAGTTTCGGACCCCTTCCTGCGAATTTCCGCTTCAGGCTGCTGCTGCAAATCTTCATAGGTCAAGAACAACCTGGAATACAGCAATTCATGCGTCAGGAAAAAGGACAGTAGCAGTGTTTGCTATATGCGCTGATTCCTGATTGTTCTAGGGCTCTAGGGTGCTGACACGCGGTCCTGTCCCATGCAACACAGCAACCAGGATCTCATGAACTGCCACACCTTCAGGGCAGAAGGAACATGCAAATCAACCGTGGCGGTCACACATGTGCTTGATGAATTGCAAGGCCAAAATGATAAATACAAGCATTGTATAGATATATATATATATTTTATATACATATTAGTATGTAAACCATGCGTGATTCATGCCAAACTCATGGACCAAGTCGGTACCGCTGTCAGTACACTCCCCACGGCCTCATTGCCAGAGTGCATGTTAGCAAACATCCCTGCTGCAAAAAGCTCCAGTGTGATCTTTTCACGAGGCACTCTGGCATATTCCGTCCAGCTGCTGTTGCAGTAGCGGCGGTAGCGTGTCAAAAAAATATCTTCGGGGTCTCTGAAGAGCACGATGAACTTTGCTTCTTCAGGGAGCTTTTCGTACCTCACGTCACACAAATGCATTTGCATCAAAGTGGGTGCTTAGGCTTAGGATGCACAAGCGCCAGCGTCTTCCCAGTGTGGTAAACTCGGATTCTGCCAAAATGCAGCTGGTGCGTCTTGTACAAACGCGGATTAAACTTTTGAGGTTCATCCACATCTTGACCGCAAAGAAGAGCTGCATGAAACCAGGGCACGACCTCATTGATGTCCTCCACGCATGTTCTGCACATCTCTGTCTGGAGCATCTCAAGTGAACTGCTCTTTTGTGGACTACGCAGCCAATACTCTATAAGACCCTAGAAGATCCTAGAAGCATATTTTCCCGGTGGCCTTTGCAAGTCTACGCGAAGGGAAACCTTCGCAAAACACCTACACAACTTCTTGAAATCCACAATGCACAAAGATATGGTTGCCTATGTATGTACATTGCCTTTGCCAAACCAATTGAGCAAAATTTTAGAGCCTATGAGAGAACGCTAGTATGCCTTCACGCATAAAGTGTGAGATTTGCCTTCGTGGGCAAACATGCTGTTGCCTTCTCGCACTACACCGAACATATCCATCAGAAACGTTAAGACTCTGTTTAGTCTAGTACATTTGGTCGTAAAGTAAGGTGCTGGGAATGGGCAGTTGAGGTATTGCTTTGCTCCTCAAAATCCATGCTGGCATTAGATCGAAGGCCGTGAGCGATCTGCGTCAACAAGGTGATACCGCTTCCCATAACGCCCACCAAGAAGACGTCCGATGGAAAAGGCTCGAAGGGGATCCTGCTCAAACAAGAAGTGCAAGCAATGACAGCAATGACAGAGTACATACAGTAAGTGAAGGATGAGTAAGCTAAATGAGCAGCACACAACAAATACATTCAGGATGCAGCTTCGTTTTACGCAGGCAGAACATGGGTTTGAATTACGGTTCTATATATTTCCGTATGAAATTACATAATTAAGCGAGAAATGGATAATGTGGTCAATTGCACGACACGCCCAGCATGATCACTGGGAACACCATCCAACTTTATGCAGGCCAAGTAACACAGGAGCAAACTTGTGAAAGGCCTCATCATTGAATTGGCGCAACTTGTCCAGGTCTTCATCCAGCTCACGTAGATGTTTGGCTGGAATCTCCTCAAGAACATGGGGCACATGTGACACATGTGAGTTTCTCAAGAATCGTATGTTTAAAGCACCGTGTCGTACAACTACTGCACAACTTGCCTACACATGTTTTTTCTTGCGCGACCACATGATTTTCTTACACCATTCTCAGGCCTCTACAAAAAAAACAACATTCGCCAGCCTTACGCATGTTTAAATGGCGTGTTGGTCAGACGTCTCCTAGGTCCTACTGTCAATGCTTACGCTGGACCCTCATGATTTGCATTGTGTGGATGCAGTAGTTAAACCTTCCGCAATAAAAATGATCAAATGTATCTTACGCACACAACAGGTTTGTTTACGCCAAACCTTTATTTGAAATAGACTCTTCGTGCCATGTCGAGTCATGGGAGGTTTTGCTGAATGTTCATGTGGGGTCCAACTAGCAGAACAGCACGCAATGTGCATTCTAGCTGTTGCTACGGAAAGGATGATAAAAACACCTTTGCATATTGCAGCCAACAAAAGCAAAGTTTTCATTCAAGTGGCCGTCATGCTCTGTAAGGGGTTGCTCTGCAACAAAGAAGTGCTATGTCTTGGCCTGTCCACCTCAGGTCACTGAAGCTGGTATCAGAAAACAAAAAACATGCTGAGTTATTTGAGCCAAACGGGGATCTAAGTTGGCATGTTTCTGGTTGAGTAATGCTCGAATATGCATGTAAGACCTTGTAAGTTGATGGTAGAGCGTTTGCAAAGCACAAAGAAACCCGAATCCATCCCTACACTACCAGGCATTCACAAGTCTGAACTCTCTGTTCAAATTTGAGAGTCTTTCAAGTAGATCACTCCAGTCAGAAGGAGAGCGGTAAATGCGAAGAGGACCAGCCGAAAATTGCCATCTCCACTCTCGACCTACCAGGGGATTCGCGGTGGCTGAGGTCTCACTTGACAGTTTTCCCCAGTTTACTGTTGGGGTTCTCGAGAAAAACGAGCTGGCCACAGCGGCTGGCCGAGCATATCTCCGGTCGTACTCCTCCCATCATCGTTTTGTCTTGCTCTTGTCTTCTCTTCCTCTTCTCCTCTTGTTCTCCTCTTGGCATGCTCCCCTGTTGTCTTTTTGGCGTTGTCCGGTCACAGCTTGTCCTTCTTTTGTCCTCTTGGTGTGTTCGTGTTGTTTGCCTTCCCTCATCTTGTCGTCCTCTGTTGTCCTCCTTATGTTCTCCTCTGGTCTTTCTGTTGTCCTGCTGCTGTCGTGCTGTTTGCGTCTGCCCACGACAACAATATTTCTTGCCGACTAAGCTGTTCGGGGTCTATGCTGGTATAATGATTGTTGCCGCCAAGCCCCTGGATATGATTCGAAGTACAAGTACGCCGACTAGTTTGTGGTCACAGAAGTCTGTTTTCAATATTGACTGGCGGTGCTCAATGATATGAAATGCGCATGAGGTCGATTGATGGAAAAACGTCCGCTTGCCAGTGCAACATCTTAACTCTTGACTTTCAAAAACAGAATGAAGGAGCCTGCAACGTACTGGTTCTTTCATCGGCATCTAGATCCTGAAGTCGTGGCGCTGACAGTGACTCTTTGAACCAGGGTAAACACCTGTTGGCAAAACAGAAAAAGAAAACATTAGAACACTTTTAGAGCAGTAGACGCCTGAGAGCCTCCACCATTCCCAAAGGTTTGCGGAGCGACATTCATCACACCATAAGACCGGAAAAGACTGACAGTCCTTTCTGAGTCAGAGCCAAATGAACTGCGGGGACAGTGGTTCTCAAGACTCAGGATCACTGTGTCTAAAGTTAGTCTAGTGCTGCTGCGCTACCAGTAACAAAGAAAACATACACTGACCCTGCAAGCTGCCTGCAACAGCGTTGCTGCCTGGCACTCGAGCTTGATGCAACATGATCGAAAAGAAATACTGCAACTAAGAACCAACAGGAATGATTTCGGTGAGCCTTTTGCCAACACCTCCACCCACGAGAAAACTATGGCCGGAAGTGCCGGAAGGTTTGCAAAAAAGAATCGCACCAAATAGCTAGCCAAAAAGTGTCCGCAGCTTCATCTAGCTTCACCTCATACTCATAAATTTTATGGATTGTTTTGTTTCATCTCATGTGCAGCTCCCGTCTTCTTGCAGGCTGAATGTGGCGAATACGCCATGCGAGCCTCGGCCATGAGGCCGCAGTCGTCTGCCAGGCCTGCCTTCTTCGCTTCGCTCAACGCAACCTGTCTCAAGGGCAAAAGTGCTGAAGGAGCCCCTAGTAGCGATGCCCTTTGCTCCTAGTAGCGTCCTTGTTCCTAGTAATAAGGCCAGGAGCCCCTAGTAGCGTCCTTGCTCCTAGCTCAAACTGTTGTGAAGGCGCACCTGCGACCTCCTGAAACAGCAACATACGGCATCATACGGCAACTTGCTACAGCAACTACAAGTAACACCTCTATATAAGCCCGCCCACTCAATGTTCTACTGCACTTTGTGCCAAACCTGCAGAGTTTCCACTTGGCTTTGCCGCAAAGCAAACCTGAGCAAAAGAACGCACGCTGATTGCAAATTGAATGCAGTATTGACAAGTCGGAGGACCCATGAAGATGTGCAATGCACTTGAGCCTGATGTGACAGAATACCAGATTTTCTCAAGTTCTCACAGTATCTTGTTCAGGAAGCATTGTTTCGGGCGTTGAAGCTTTCTCAGGCCATAGGTCATTTGAAATTCGCAAAATTATGAAACATCTCATCTCATCTCATGTATCTGTTTCATCTCTTTTCGGCCAAAGCGTGGGTGAATTGCCGCGACGTGCTTTTGATGTTTTTGTGCGAAGCCATCTTTAGAATCTTTGGAGAGTTCAAACCTTTTAAGAGTTCGGCTGCAAAGCCATCCGGGAGTCTTCCCTCTGTTGCTCGGCCAGCTCCCACTCCTGGCCAGGATCAACCAAATCCACCTGGCTTTGCCTCCAAAGGCTACAAGCATTAACGAACATCGTTAAGTCTTTAAGTCACTGAAGTCACACCTGTAGAGCCTTTCTTGTAGCCAACTCAGCTGCAGCTCCACCAAGCCTTAAACGCAATCGACCAAATCCACTCGAGATCCACTTGCACTTGGCATTTCTATTATAGTTTTTACCTATCTTGTTATATCCTGCAGCTAAAATGCAGACATGATTTTACATGAGGTTTTCAAAGGCAAAGCACCGTGCTCAGACTGACAGACGGACAAAGAGACAGACTTACAAGCAATAGAATTGGGAATCCAGAGTGCTGCGGCTCCGGGCAGGTGCTCGATTGCGCCCTCTGCCTGTGCCTCGACCGAAGTCACGTGAAGTGTGGCTGGCCAGAATGCTGCAGAGCGTGAGTCTCACCAAATCATCCAAATACAACAAACTTGCCCGTTACCCTGGAGTAGTACAGCGCTGTGCACTGTCAATTCATCCCGGCCGGTCAGAGTCAGCACAGCCATCCCTCGATCCCTCTGTTGGGGCCTCTTCAAATGCGTTGCGAACTGCAGGCCCAAAGCGCTCGTCCTTGCACCGCGAACCAAAGTTTGCAGGCAACATGTTGAGCAACTTTAACAAGCCTGGTAGATCAAACACACCCTCGCAAAACTCTTTTTGCACAAGAGGAAGTATTATATAATATATTACAGTATGTTAATTGTACGTAGTACGTAGAAAAAGTTCATGCCAAGGCAAGAGAACAGCACCCTGGCCCTTTGGAGCCTTTGGAGCTTCCAGCATGGCTTGGAGAGCACACAAAGCATCGTTTCGCTTCTGAAGCCTCCTCGGCCCACAACTCAGGATAAAGGCCATGTCAACCGGACTCAACTTCTCCTTTTTAAGGGCCCGTTGCTCTCACCCTTGCTCAATTAAGTACTAGCCGCCGTTACTAGCCTTGGCTTACTAAGTAATCTGTAGCTACTACCTACTGGACGCAGGATAGCTCATGTTCGCACTATATATTCATTTGGTTCCTAGATGTTCTACGAAAATCCAACTGACGTGATGGCCTCCTCTCAGTCTGTGCAGATCAAACTGACAAGTATGGCTGTAGCGAAGCGGAAACAAGCTCCAAAGCCTCTCCTTTGAAGTGCCAAGTTCAGCTGCTGCTCTGCCTCTTTCACTTCAGCCTTGGAGTGGAATCTTGGATGGTCTTGCCGAGTCCTGCCTAACCAACATCTACACTAATTGTTCCGCACTTTACGCCACTGCGATTTGCACACTTGTTGCTGCTCGCCACTTGCGATTGCTACATGTGTCCTGCAGCGTCGCCCTCCTGTCCTATTTTTCACCACCTGGCTCCCAGGCTGCAGGCAGGCCAACCTCAAGGAATTGGTCCCGAAGACGATGCCGAACAATCCGTTGTATAGTCACATATTAGCCACCTCCTTCGCCCATCTTTAATTACTGACTCAAGTGCAGGTGTCCTTTCTTCATTCCATCTTATTTATAACTTACTTATAACGCTCAAATCCTTCCAGAGAATCTGCCTCCTTGGCATTCGCCACTGCAGAGGAAAACGCCTACAATCTTGCAGTCTGTTCCACAACAATAGAAGCCACAGCCAACCCTCATGCACGCCAAGTCCAAATTCTGTACGTCGGTCTTCTACGACATAGGCCACATGGATTCATGCGATGGAGTAGAGGACGCTACTAGGAGCAAAGGGCATCGCTACTAGGAGCAAGGACGCTACTAGGGGCTCCTGGCCTTACTACTAGGAACAAGAAGATACTAGGAGCTATTTTCTCAATTCCGGACCGATTTTCTCACACGATGGACAAGCGCCTGAGAATCGTGGCGCTCCAACGCAGCTACCTAAGAGCTGTCGCCCGCTTTCAGTGATGGCTATTCAGATTTGCCACAACCGCATCATTTTGGAGCCAGTATGTACATTTCATGACAGATTTATTCCATGCTTTCAGGACCATTAAGAATCTTCTTACGTGCACATCCGAGATTGAAGCGATAAGTTCTCTAGCGTCTGCCAGCTTCTTCTCCTGCTCCTGAACCATCCGAAGCTTTATATTAAAGAATGCACACGCGAAGACGCAGCAGAGTCATGAGAACTCAAAGCGTGTTTGAGTATTGACATCCATTCCCACTTAGCTGTTCTCTGGTAGAATGGTGTGCTTCAAAACACATTGGTCGGTCTTGCAAATATCTTCTAACTCAAATGTTTAGGATTGTTATGAATTGTTCAATTTCTTATTATACAAAACTTTATAATATATGATTCCATGATATTTCGCTGCTATTTCCTCGTCGCCGCTTGCCTCTCGAAGCTGCTGTTCCAGAAGCCGTTGTGCCTCTTCGCGCTTCCGCTGTTCTTCCAAGTCTTCAGTGGACTTGGCCTCACAGCACCCAAAAGAACCCAAAGGCCCAAAGCTTTGGAGGTCAAGTTTGCCTTCGATTGTAGGCTTCATGGTGACCCAACGGGACTTACTTACTAACAAATCTGGTGACATGTCGGAGCACCAATGCGTATTAGGACGGAATTTGGTGGAGGCCATCGCAAGTAGGTTGGAGGCCATCGCTACGAGTAACAAGGGTATGGTTTTAACTAAAACCATCTGTGCAGCCTGCTCGACCCCTTTGGATCGCTCCTTCTGTTGACGTTTGCGCCCTCCTGGCAGGCAGCATGGCTGGAAGAGGGAGCACATCGTCTTTGGGGAAATGTTCCCTGTCAATGCCTTCAGTATGCTAGCCGCTAGAACATTCGCAAAGGAATCTACTCTATTGGTAATGTCGCTCCAACCTTGCGAAGCAGCTTTGACTGTAGGCACCTCAGAAACACAGGAAACTTTGTTGGAATAGTTGGAATACAGTACAGTAAATAGTTGCAGTTTCAGAAAACAAAGGGTTTACCAGGTCATGTCTGCTTCAATAAGTCACTTGTAATAGCACTGGCCTGGCCCACATACAGTATAATATATTGTCTATAGCATGCAATGTACGAGGTTTAGACATCTTGCAACATGATCTACCCTTTTGGGCCACCGAGCCCATGTGGCTTTCTCAGTCGGTCTCTGCTTCAAGTAAGGGCTCTCATCATCCTGGCCCAACTGCTCTGAAATCTGGCCACTCGTGGCCCCCTCACAAAGTTCTTCGTTATCCCTCCGTAGAAATTTTGTGTCACACCTCACACCCTGTCAACAACTTCTAAGATTCGAGGCATGCAGCTCTTTTCTAGAATCAGAATCATTATCTTAGATGGTTGGGAATCCCAAACAGTGGCAGCATAACCAATGTTGCTAAGCTTTTGTAGAAGCTTTGAACCTCAATGTGACTCAAACATGAAGTGCCGTTGTGACTGTGGCGTGGCAAAGGAAAACATCTGAAAACAACTTCACATTTCGGATGGGCATGCGTACTTGCGATACCGGGTACCCGGTATCGCTCTGCATTGGAGGAAAACCAAAAGGAACCTTGATGGAAGTGACATAGCTGTGGGAGAGTGAAGTCAAGTCACCCTGGCTGCTCCAGAAGATTTGGGAGGAGCCTTAGGACAAGACTCAAGCTGTTGATCCATTACAAACAAGACTTCTGCCCAAATTGAGCCACTGGCATCATCAGCATGGTGGCTGGTGCCATTTGTTCCTTAATGCATGTTGTTCATATCCAAAGACATGCTAGGTCAATGGACACCATCTGGAAAGAAAAGATTGTCTAGTTCCTCCATATATAGTGTTATATATAACAAGTCCAGCAGAATGATGCAGAATGCAGGACAATGACCTCACTTCTTTATTGAAGACCCTTTGCACCAAAGCCACGTGCATTGACCGTGGACCAATGAAACTTGGACTTGAGCAAACAACACAGCCAGTGCCTCTTTCCACACTTAGTTTCCAGCCAGCGCCTCCTGAACTTTCGGGTATAGCCTTCGAAAGGCTGGAAGAGCAAGGTCCAACTCCCTTGTTACTAGTAGCTTCTTGCTACTAGTAGTAATGCCCTTGTTACAAGTAGTGATGCCCTTGTTACTAGTAGCTTCTTCGAATCTGAAAGTTCTGACTCCCACGCTTCCAATCTTCTGTGTATTTCTTGGGCGTTGAAGTTGCTACATGCCTCGGATGTTCCTCCACCTGCGCCTTCAGCCTGAAGGGCTGCACGTTGCACGGTTCATTTCAAGTTCGATCTCTTGGGACCGTCGGCCTTCGGCATAAGCAACTTTTTGAGTCAGCCCATCCAGCGCTGTTAGCAAGTTGAGGAGTTAACTGTGAGTCTTCATTGTGTGTACAAGTGATCCATGCAGCTCCATTATTGACATGTTCGTGATAAGTCTTCAGTCGTGACTGGTGCCTCCGGACACCCAGGAGTCATTCATTTTTGCATGTGTGTGTGTCGCCTCTTCCGCTCGCACAACTTCCAAGGATTCCTGTGCTTTGCTTTGCAAACGCTTTGCCTGGCAAAACAATGGAACCTCTCTCACGTGTCGAAATGCATGTCTTTCTGTGGTTCTCTCACACTACTCTTGCCCATAAGTAGAATTGGAGCATCTGAGAGGATTTGAAACACAAATTGGCCGACACTGTGGAGGAGACAGGACAGGTTCTTGGGGATATTTAATCATCTCGTTCCAAGAATATGTGCATATAAAGTCATATCTAGTCCAAATTTGTTGGATCAATTTGGGACATCCTCGAGTACGGAGGTTTTTGGAGAATGCAGCCCTGGCCTATCAAGCAAATTATTGTTGAGCCTTTGAAGCAAATGGATGGTGTCTGAATGATAAATTTGTTACAATATCGAAAGCGGCTTCGAAAATAAGCAAACAAGGACCAAGAAGCGTTGGACAATGGCGGTGTTTTTCACTTTTGTTTTATGACTTTTGAAATGCTGTAAGGTCAACAATCTGGCCTGCAAAGCCTTCATGGGCACAGCTTCAAGCAAGTCATCGATGCACTCGATGACCTGCTGATAGGTGGGTGGACCTTACTACTCTTGCAAACGTGCATTCAATGCGCTCTTGATCGTGATGGTAAGGGGTTGTCATGTCACGGAACAGTGTTGTTCTTTCAAAGCCTTCTTGTCACCCAGTCTTGTTATCTTGTGTTTTTGCTAGCGTTGACATTGCGCTTTCTACGCGAATCTGAGGCAAATCGTGTGCATGTTATTTAGCAGGGATTGTTGTATCGTTCCGGAAGTAACAACTCTATTATAGAACTCTTGGAAACAAAGGTCAGCCTATTTGGAGCAACCCTGGCCCGTTTACTCTGTGTGGCTAGAGTCCTTGAGTTTGCTTCACTCCGGCCGAAACAACGCACGTTTTGAGGGAGAATGACCAGCGTGTGAATGTCCCATGCTCGCGGCCTGACAACCAATGCTGCTCAGCCAAAAGGGGTTGAATTGTCTTGAATTGATAGGCATTCCGCCTTGACTTGCAAACACAGTTCAATAGACGCAAAACATTGAAGAAAAAGCGTCATGCTTGCCGCAGCATGGAGATACAAAACCCAGAAACAGCAGGCTTAGGACTAGGACTGCCTGGTATGGCCCACAACAAAGCTCCTTAACTTAAACGTTTAATCCTCTTTTTATGTAATTACCCCCGTGCCAATTTCCTACCTCCCTCACCACATGAGCCTCTTCCAAAGACGCTGCTCCCATTACTTCACACCAGGAATAGATGGCCTGACTCCGGACCCCCTTGGCCCTTCGTGGCAATGAGAGCCGTTGACTCACTTGCGACATTTGAAAGAAAATTGAAACAATCGGAGTACTGGCCCTAGTTCTTCACCGAGCACTCATGCTGTAATGCCGCATGATTTTATGCAACAAGTGTTCGCCTGACACCAAACCAATCTGGTTGATCTCTGTATGCAGCTTCAGGGCGTCTAATTAGAGTGATTGTATGTGATTTGTGATAATAGTTCAGTTTTCGTCAACCCCAACTCCTGCTGTCAAAGTCAAACGAGTCAACTTCAGCAGCCTCCTGATGTTCCAAAAGGTTCAAGTGCTTCAACCAGGCCCGGATGTCTAGCCAAAGCCCATCCTGCAACGATGGAGCCAAACACCAGACACGTGCATTATAACACGTTCTATCTCATGCGCCTCATGTCATAAATTGTACACTATCCACAACTATCCACATAATACTTGATATTACTTGGTCAGACTTGGTCCCTTTCTTTCACACCAAATTATAGTCGTTTTGGACTATACATGACATATTTCCTAGTTGGAAGAACAGTGTGGACACACCTTCAAGAAATAATTGATAAAACAAAATTGCAGGATTTACATGGATCTTCCATTTCCATGGTGTTCGTTTTTCTTCTCCTCATCACCAGCTTCTGCGTCCTTTTGAGCGGCAGTCTCTTCTGCATCCATCTGAGTCGCATCCTTCGACATTGTTTCTGGCGGCTGTGAAGTTTCAGCTGCAAACACTGTTGCATCAGCCTGGCGAGGGAATGAAATCAAAACATGGAGCAACTCAAAGAACACCAATCCCGCCTCTTCCAAGACTCCCACAGGTTCTTGTTGTCCTGGGACGGCGCCCCAACACCGCAAGCCACGCAAAGAGAGCTACTAGTAACAAGAGGACGCTACTAGGAGCAAGGACGCTAGTAGCTCCTGGCCTTACTACGAGTAACAAGAAGCTACCAGTAACAATGGGCGCCCAAACACCGCTTCAAGATTTGGTTGCAAGATCACTATGATCACTTACCTTAGCGGCACTTAATCACGTGTTGTAGAGGGTGAATAATGAGATTAGGCAAGAGATGTTCAATCACGTTGCCAGATTTTTCTGCATCACTTTAGCTTTGCGGAGCCAACCTGCGGCAGTACAGGTATATCTTCCTAATTAGATTGCTGGCTATGCTCCTGCAACCTCTGCACCTGCAGTCCGGGCAAACCCAGAAAACGCAAATATCTGCAATCAGGTTTATTGCTATCTGTCATCTTGCTTTGAACGGCTTCTTTGTCTAAGAGCCATGATTCTGACTCACGACCGGTCTGCTCTGCGGAACATGGGAAAACATTGTGATTGGAAGCCCAGAACAGCTGGATGCTGATCTGAGGGAAGCACTAAGTTCCTCCCAAGGTGGTGCTTCAGCAGCACCCGGAGTTTGCCAAACATCCTGTCTATGAACGAAGTGCACACAAAAACCAACATATATATATATATACAAATTATAATTAAATTATATAGACTATATACCGTTGATGTTCCGTCAAAATGCTAAAAAATGCTGCAACAAGCAGCTTCTCATTTCCGGAGTTCAATTCAGGGGGAACATGCAAAGCTCTGCCAACAGTGGAAGCGGAAGCTGATCACTTCTGTGTACCTACTAATTTGCACAGCTGCATGAACATGAACATGAATACATTTGGCTAGGTTTGCATGAACTTCACCTTACCGACGGCGGCGCTGGCTTCACCCTTGTTCTCAACCTCTGACCTCTAGGATATGGACTCAGGGCCAAAGTTCCTCGAACTCTGTACCTCTGCCTTTGTCCGGTCCAGCTGAATGCATACAACAGTTATTATATGCACCCGGTGGATCCTGGTGGCCTAAATGCAAATACGTAGTCAAGCTCGATGACCTCTGATTCTCACGATGACTCATGACACTTTATCTCTTGAGTCATGGTCCACAATGATTATCTGGTCCTCGGACAACTCTTCAACCATTGGTGCTGCGTCCCACAAGGTGTCTATAGCCGAAGAGGGTGGGCCTCCAACATAGACAGCTGTAAAAGTAGCCAAAGCTTGAAATGGAGCTAATAAATACTCGCGAATGGTCAGACCTCTAAGACTCTGAGGTCATTCTGATCCTCCAAGGGCCAGACCTCTAACCCATGCAGAAGACGTTGTTCTCGCCTGGGAGCCTCCAAACCAAAAGCACTTCTATCAGTGAGATGTCCTCCCTCTGAGAAAGGTTTGTAGTCACTCGAAGTATTTTCTGTTTGTTATGTAAGTTATGTCGTGCGTTCTTTGGATCAAGCCTATTCTATTGAAGAAACGGCGGGCACCAAATTATCTTACTCGTCCAGGCAAAGAACACCAAAGCATTCAAAAGCTGTGCCAAGTCATGGAGTCGTAGGATGCAGTGGTATGGACTACTGTCAAATATAGTCGAAATTAAAATTTCCCTGGAGCCTGCTGACTGAAAATGTCTTGCACCTGTGGGCGTCGGATCCTGAACAGTTGACCGAACGCTCTAATAGAAAGGATCTACATAATCGAACAAAGCAACTCTAATCATCTTTAATCAAGTCTCTCCCTCTCTGTCTCTTTCCGTCCCAGTCTCCCTTGTCGTTTTGTCTCTCTCTCTCTCTCTCTCTCTCCCTCTCTTTTTCTCTCACAGGGGCAGTGGTTTTGGCTTCAGAACCCTCTTCTTCCACAAACAACTTCCAAACTACCTCCATGTTCAAACAAACAAACAAGCAAGCAAGCACAAGGTGAATTCCTGCAGGTGGTGACTTCTCCCACGGCTTTCGAGCGCAAAAACAAATCATTTCACAATGATTCATGTGCATGTTGAGAAATAGGAAAAGGAAGAAACCTTGAGCATTCATGTCCTCTGCTGCCCATGTAGAAGTCCGCATAGAGACACCTGCACGTGTTCAAGGTTACAATTGTCATTTCTCGACACACTTCATGGAAAAGGAACAATCAACGCCTTTGCCCCAGGCTGGTCTGTGGCTCACTGTCTCTGCCGGAGTCTGCCTCTGTGCCAAGTGAATACCATTCCTACCAGTCCTGTTTTGCACACTAACGAGTGAGTTTCTTAGTCGGCATCAGCTGTGAAAAGACCAAAGTTGATGTCATTGTCAGCGATGAGATTGGGTACACTGGTACACAATCTGCGAGACCCCATGGGTTGCGCGTTGGCAGGCTGCAAAATCAATTATTATCAATTATTGAAGACCATGCTCAGGGAAAAAAACATAAACAACACGATACCTGATTTTCAAAAAATGCCGCTGTGCAGCACACTCCAAGGTGCCAACTGATGGAATTGCTGCAGGCTCATCGATTGCCGGCGCCCACCCTTTGCCTTGCCTTTGCCTTTTGGAGCCTCAAAGAAACAACTTTAAGGCCAATGAATCAACGCACATAAAGGCAATCAGCTTTAAACCATAACAAAATAGACTTGTTCTTGGGGGGATCTATAGCCAATGGTAGGCGGGGTGAGTCAGTTAGGGTAGGGTCGGTAGGCAAAAGGTAGGTAAGTGGTAGGTACAAGTGAGTAGTTGGCATGTAAGCAGTGGGTAAGTGGTATCAGTCGCAGTCGCAGCAGGAGCAGTAGCAGTAGCAGCAGCATGAGCACTAGTAGTAAGAAAGGGATAGACAGCAGCTAGTAGTAGACTTTAGTAGATTCTTGGGGGGACGAGAATACACATATATATAATACTGTATATGAATTTGAACTAAGCATGCAGAAGGTACCAGGTTACAAGGTAACGTTCTTCATCTCCGAGGCTAAGACATCGCTGGTTGCCTCCACACAGCCAAATTCACTGCGTGGGATTGCAACACTCAGGCCACTGGTTCAAATGAAATTGACAACTGAAATGACATAGAATGAAATCAAACAAAAAACAAGTTACTTCAAAATGCTGCCTTCTGCAGCAGTCTCAGCGACATAGTTTCGACCTCATGCAGTACGGGGGTCCTTTTCATGGCTCGATGCTACAAGAAGCCAATTGCTGGTCACGAGTAGAGTTGGTGAAGCTGTGATCGGTAGGTACTGTGGAGGATTTTGTTTAGACCAACACAAGGCACTGTCACTCAGGAACAGTCAGGCTGGTGAAATGTACGGAAACGCTCACTTGTCAGCTTTACCATGGTCGAACACCGAGTAGGAGTACTACTGTAGGACTACACCACTACAAGTAGGACCAAAGTGTTTCTTCTTGAAGGTTCTATATAATTGAACAACCTTTTCCTTAGAATCCTGCAAGACACTTAAGTCACCTCACACTGTGAAATTTCATCCCTTCAAAGCTGTTTAGTCAATAATTACTATAAAGTTCAACAAGGGTGATATGGCCCTCTCACACTGGCCACGCGAAAGCGTCTTAATTCGATGCAGCTGGCGGCTGATCCATATAGATGTTATAAGAGCCAGTAAGAAAGGAAACATGTTCTTCCTCAGCAGCAGCAGCAGCAGCAGGTGTTGTTGTTGCTGTTGCTGCTGTTTGCTACGGTCAGCGGTTAGTTGTATATAAGATGTTGTCAGTAAGTATGAATTTGTCACTTGCGAGTTAGTAGAGCGGTAGTTGTAGTAATTCTTGCTACCGGAGTGAAAACCTTACGCGCCTATTTGATCCTATTTGTGTCGGGTTCGCATTTTGGAAAGTCATAGAACATAACAAATAATCGGTGCCATGTGATTACAACATTTTACATAGTTACAATTTCATCAAAGTTGGCACTTCTTCATGCTCACTGTGAATTGCAGCAATGTGTGACACTTTGCCACGTTACATCGTTCATCATCATTCTCATGTTTCATTTGTGTTGGCCACGATTCCAGTGTGTTTTGCAAAACAGTATCTTGTATCTTCGGAATTTGTGTTATGATGGTTGACATGTACGGAGTGGGGGAGTAATAACGTATATTATATGTGTGTGTTGCAATCATGGCACTTCGCTCATGGGCATACGGCCTCACCTTCACATGAGCGATGCTTTATATAAACCTCTTAGCGAACGTGACACTTCTGTTGGTTCACTTTCATATGAGCGGTGTCTAAGACCTCTTACAAGTAGCAAGCATGGCACTTTGTTTGTGGGATTATGTATTGACTTTCACGTGAGCTCGTGGCCAAAAAAGAGTATCCCTGGCTCTCTGCGGTCTCGCGTTGATGGTGGGTCCCACCCTCGGATTCGGCAGTGGGGGTATGAACATGCTAGTGACTTGCGCATTGCCACCGCAATGGCAAAGGCGCGGCAAAGCTGTGATGAAAAAGGTGTCAACACCACACCATTGTACAGTTTTTGAGTTTTCCTATAGGAAAACGGAATTAAAAGCAGCACTTTAACAATTCTGATAATATCTTACTTGAGGACTGAGGACAGTGGGGACGAAAGCGAGGGGTGTGGAAGGATCAAGGGGACGCGGAGGGAGGGCAGCAACGCAACGCTTTTGTGCCACGAGCGCAAGGTGTTGTTGGCTGAGTCAACCGAACACTTAAAAAAAAAAAAACTCGACTTTCATTCTCACAAGGACGGGGGAGGAGTCGAATAGCCTCTTTCAATTCACTTTACAGGGGGGGGGGAGGGCCCCCCCCTAGACGTTTCAATCTGCTAATTGAAATATCAATTCCTTTGCGAGGGGGGAGGGGGTTATTCAAAGAATCAATAAAAGGGGGGGGGGCCCTTCGGCTGACCCCTCCCTTTAATTGAAAGAATAAATTAGTTCACTGAACCTTTCAATTTTGAGCCTCACCATATTTCGTAACAACAACTTCCGCTGAGCTCCTTCTGAGCTCGCTTTCATGATATACAGTAGACGTTCCGCGATCCAACATTTGAGGATGGTTTCTTGAGGCGAAAACTGTCGTATTGCAGGAACCATAGAAGAAATACTTAAATAAAATCCCAATGGAATTGCTATGATTTCAAAACATTCACAAGATACACATGATTTTAAAAATACTTAGTTTGTGAATAGTTTGAGAGATTCGGAGCAAACAAATGGGGAATCAAAATTGGCACTGGCACAACCACACGCGGTTTCCCCTCCCCCGGGTAGTCTGGATAGTAAAAGTTACAGTGCAAGTTTAGTTCCGGTTAATGTATGTGTTTGGACGAGTTTTCTATATAAAATATAGCGTCATGTCTCTCCGGTCCAAAACCTCAAAACTATTGTGTTTGGAATTGGATGTCTCGGACCCTCTTCTACAATGGATTTTCAGGGCATTCCGTTCTTTTTCAGGAAGCTGTGAATCATCTAGCTGGCAAACATATTTATATTCTAGCTTTAACAATGCCACAATACCTCAGGCCCAACGCCAGCCTGGCTGCATGAACTCGCACATTCACAAGGATGCTTGAAAGATTGCAAAAAGGCTGGCCAGTTGGCATATAAGTCTCCCCTGCGGGGATCGGGTATTCAATGTACTGGTATTGGAGGTTGGAGGTTGGAAACAAGAAGCCCCACAAGTCGCTGCTTGTGATCAAGTGCGGCTTCTTGACATCGGATTCTGGTCCTACAGTGATCGCAAAGCGGCTATATTACAGTATATGCTAGGCCCGGCTGCAAGGCGGTGTGAATTGTAGTCGTTCTTCAGGAGCAAAAACAAAAATGTGTGTTGCTTGAATTGCCAAGCTGTGGATAAGGTCTGCCGAATGCATCTAGTTTGTATGTGTTCGTACACAGTATTCCAACTTGAGCCACCTTCTGCCGACAAAAGAGTCTCCACTCAACAAGTGGTGACTTTTCTTGCAAGCGACTGCCATTGATTGACGTGGAAATGCAGAAAAAATGTGAGTAGATGGCACAGACCCCAAGATGTCCTTTATATAGGGGTCCATATAAACCACCTCTTGGGGTCTGTGCCATCTACTCTCAATCCACTGTAATTCAAAACGGGAGAGGAAACATGAGGAAGCGCTTTGTCACCCCTGCACAGCTCCATTGAAGGCAAGCATATCTAGCATGTCGAACTCTGGCATCCCGTCAAATTCTGTACACTCTTCACTTGTCCATACCTCTGGCATTCTGGCTCTGCAAGCCGCCATACCCTGCGCAGCCACTGCAGCTGCAAGAATCAGCATCTTCTCAAGGACTTGGTAAGCAAAGTCATGTGAAAAACTGAAAAAAGGGACCTTGTCTGGTGACCCTGTCACTTTGCAGGTTTTTCAGCGGAGCCGTTCGGCAGTTTTCATGGTCCTGCAAATACAAATTGCCTCATTGATGTGCCATATGATGCTTCAGTATGTTTCAGTTATATAAGTTATATACTAATTCAGTTGGACAGCTTGCTCATGCTCACAAACAAGGTCCTGTCTCTGCAAGAGGTACGAAGATGCAGCCTTGCAACTTCGGCAAGCCCTGTGATGGAAACGCTCCCAAAAGGCATTTGAAGGCTTCAAACCCTTGATCCAAACCTGAAATTTTTGATGTATAATATCATAATATAGTCTGCTTTTCCAGGACTAGAAAAGAGTGCACAATGAAACATACAAAGAACCACATGCCTTGACGATCTTCAAAAGTGCTGTCCGGCACAGGCCACAGCATCAGGATGGAGTCTCCGATCAGTAATCTTCGCCATGCACTTCTTCGCCATTGCAGCCACCCAGCACACTGTAAGAATTGAGATTAGGTGACAGCTGTCTGAGCTTGTTCTGCCTTGACGCCCAGAATGAAGGAATTTCGTTCTGACAAAACATCATCATCTTGAAGCAGCTCTCGCCCTAAGCATGGGAGTCAATTTGGCAAGCTTCAAGAAATCGAAAAAACACAGAATGCACTCAGCTCTGGACGGCAATCTGGAAGCTCCTGAAATGTACTAAGAGTCTCTTGGAGGCAGGGGGACATGTATCATGGCTTCAAGTATCCTTCGATGGTGAATTGGAAACGCACACATCCATGCTTCTGGCGAGTCCCTGATCATTCATCCGTTTGTAGGAGCTGCTACAAGGAGGTTCATTGTTTGGATCCACAAATGCCGGCTTTGATGAGCTCCAGGTCAACAATCTACAAAGACTTCACACCATGCATATGTGCTCAACACAATCGCCCTGACTCGAGCACTATCAGTTAATCAAACTGCAAGAGCTTTCCAAGGGCCAAGTATGCCTTTCGGGCAGTCCGTGATGTGTTTGCTCAAACTGCTTCCTTCAAGAGTTCTTCTATAGATAACATCCACCGGGTTGGTCCAAGTTGACTCAAGACAGGTCTGACACACGCTGAGGACACAAAGAGATACGTCAGAAGCCAAAACTGTCTGAGTCGGTCTGAGTCATCCTCGGTCCTCTATCAGCAGTTTGAGGCACCAGTAGGTGAACGGATCAATTTGAAGGCGCTTTGCACGAAGCTTCACGCCTCTGAGGACCGGCGGATGCTTTCAAATGAATGAGTCACCATTCTGGACAAATTAGTGCAGAAACTGTGTGAGCAAAACTTTCGACCTCATGCTGTACAAAATACTTTGAAGCTCCTGGAAGACGCTTGTCCAAACAGCATGGCGCCAGTACCAAAGCGGCCGGCGGAACCACCTTCATCATGCGAAGATGTCTCCCATTCTCCCATGGAAACCAAGAACACTTCAAACCGAGCTGCACTTCCCATCCAACACCTTTCCTACAGAACCACGAACAATCAAACACTCAAAGTGGCCTAAGCCTGACGCCTCAAATATTGAAACATATAGCGTAGGAAGGGTGACTCCCTGACTCCCTGGTCAATCCTTCCAGTGGGAAGTCTGTAGGAAGGGGATTTGAGTTCTTCAATGAAGGCAACAGTGTTTGCATGCCATGAAGTGAAGTGTCATGCGTGCGGATCCACCACATACCATCAGAGCATACCGCCACAGCTGCATGGTCCACCACACCTCCTTGAAGAGGCGTGCAGCATGCACAGACAGCATTCCGCAAAGGTGAACGCCAACAAGCAGGACCAGCCTTGAAGCCCGATTGAATGTTGAGCAATAGTCTGAGTGAGTAGTCTTCATGGCCATCAATCGGTATAATATCTTCATTGAATAGCCCACAATGCCAAGTCATTCCAAGAAATGCTGAGCCGCCAACGCAGACTTTTTGGCGCCCAGAATGCTTTCCTAAGTAGGACGGTACTAATTGCTGACCTGGGCATGAGACTCATGAGACCATGACAAAAAAAAACAAGCCGACATTAAGCCATATTGAACCAAACCATTAATAATGAATAGCTGTGCAATGGATAGAGTATTGAGCTATTCAAACAGGAATGTGTGAAGTTCTGCAGGACTAGTAAAAAGCATGCTGTTCTTATGGTCTAGTTTTATCTGATGGACAAGGAAATTTAGAGGTGCATTAACGTGCTAAGCCATGCTGCCAAATCAGCGGCGAGGCTGGAAGACTCCTCAGTGACTAAGAGCAAGTGCAGAAAAGATACAAAGCAAAACGTTAGTCGGAGTTCACTCAAGGAAAAGCATCAAGCCAGAGTGGTATTCGTAGTCCCTGCAGGTCATTCACTTTGGCTTCGAGTTGGAGGAAACACGAAGAAACGAAGAATCCAAAGACTCTGGGTGTATCTGACTCGATGCAGCAACTGCAACCCTGAGACCGCCACCATGTTGAGGTGTTGAAACCGCAAGTTTGGGCAGGCTTTGAAATGAGAAAGGTCCTTCAGGCAAGGAATAGAAATTGACTGCTTCATCGAAGGATCTTCTTGCATAGATGGCATCACGACATCAAATTGTTCAAAACCAAGAACTTTCAAAAAGACTGCTAGGGCTCCATGTGTGCATTGCGGTCGACCGCTAGAACTTCTGCGCTTGGAAAAGAGCAAGCAAGGACCTCTAGTCAGGCATTGCTCGCAACATAAACGAGTGACTGAAGTACAGCTGCGACACTTAAACAATATGCGACATGATAACCTATGTCATGACAATTGTGAGGCTCAAAGCTTTGCACCTGGAGGATTACCTGTGATCTGTCCCTATTCCTGTGTTCTCCCACAATGTGTTTTCAAAACACCACAGGGTCTGCCAGCAGCCAATCTTGCACAAGTGATCTGCTATTGTCCGCCTTTTTGATTAACTTTGAGCTGAGCACGTCACCAGGCTACCAAATCCCTTGCCGCAACAAAGGTCGACGATCGTGACACCTTTTCCTGCAGGCATTCTTGCAGTAGGCCTTTTTGTCAACATGTGCAGCCGTGCAGCCATTTAGTTTCTGTGTGGTTGCGTGCTCCATCGAAAAGGACATGTGTTTGAGAAAAAGGTATATAAGTAGTATAAATTTATGATAATTTATGTATATATAGTATTGGCTTGAAGCTGGAAAAGCCTCCTTGACTGGCGACTGTCTGTCCAGCCTCGTTGCATCGCAAGTATATAGTTACAAGAATCTCCGAGTCAAACACAGGTCAGCAAATGGAGACTTGCACAACCTGAAAGAATGAAGGAAATTCAACCCAAGCAGTCTGTGCGCGCTACAGCCAACTTCTTGAGTGCTCTATTGCAAGCGTGCAGCAAGCCAAAGGCCTGCGAGCGCACAGGACCAACCCCCACATACAAAGGCACAGTTTGCTTATAGCTTTACATCCTGTGTACGGCGGCTATGCTGTTACAGCATAGACAGCCCTTAACAGTCTGTTTTGACAGTTCAATCCTCACGCAACACTGGGGCAACTTGTGGCAACTTGCCTAATTTGCCATACGCTGCAAACATCCCATACCCAAAGCAAGAATAGATTTGCCCTAGTCATCGCATGGCATCACCCATCACTGCTCGAAATGCATGTCCCTTGTACCGCATTGTACAATCATTAGACTTGCACATGCAGCACAACATAGCACAGCCATCTCATAAAACAGCCCGCTGCAACTATCAAAAATGACCAGTCCCGTCCTCAGTGAGTTCCTTCCTCAGGCGCTTTCCTTGAACATTGAAGAGTCGGGCACATTCTGGCCTCAGACCCGGCGAATGCATGTATTGCAGAGTTGGCTGACCAAGGTGTTTTCAGACTTCTTGCCACACTTGCTACACAACAACATAGCGCAAAGCAGCTAAAGGCTGACCAGTTGAAAGTTACAAAACGATTTGTCAATTTGTCATGGCATCCACAGATCGACTCATTCTTTCGGGCACCCGGCGCTTCCAGAAGCCGTGCCAACCAGGGTGCTCCAGCAAACTGAAAAAAGGAGTTTAACAAAAAGGTAAGGTAGACATGTGGAGGGTTCTGGTATCTTCAGCTCCCTCAAATTCAGCCCAAGAAGAAAAGCTAACAAGCTCATTGTTTTTCAACACAGTTCTGGAGCAAGAGGCTCCACAATGCTATTCATGGCTGGACAATATCAACTTTGAATCAGCTGGACCTCCTTCAAATACGGGTTGCTGTGCACCGACCTCCAGCAACAGTCCAAAAGGAGACGGCCAATTAAACAAGATTGGTTAGAAGTTAAAACTAGCATGAATTGTTCTACCAAAGCGTACCATGGCCTCATACCTTGAAAGCAAAAAAAGACATGTCCAAACGTCCAGTTCTTGGTGGAAAAGAGACAAAAACCCTCTAATTATATAACAATACAATTACCAAATTATACCATTGAACATGTAGCAAACAAACTATTGACAAGCCCAAGCACAGTCCGAGCTGCTGCCCCTCGAACAAGTAGCGAATGCTGGCGGGGCGTCTTTGTGGTGCTGTGAAGACCTCACGCGCCTCTGCGTTCTCCGTCTCATCCCTGCCGTCAACTCCATGCGCAACAAACACAACACTGCACACTTTCACACACAAAACAATATGGTCAAATATGCTGTATTAAGGCTGTAACAGGCTGTATGTTCTGTCCAACATCAGCCAGGCCCACGAAACGCCACTACTTCTCAACGACTTGCTTGGAAGCTGCATTGGTGTCCCCCTGGCTTGCTGCCTCATTAAAAGAGTGCGAAGCGGTGCATTCGATGCGTGTGGCTGAGTGTATTTTCTATGCTGGCAGTCTTTGCGCTTGTTCTGTACGTTCAGGTCTTTCATGTTCTTTATATTTGCTCTCTTGTTTCTTCGTCTAGACTCACCTCGCAGACTCGTCGTGCAAAAAGCAGCAAGAGGCATAGCCACAACGGCCCCGGTAGACAAAGTTCCTGCACCTGGACAAGAATAACAAAAATGAGGACTCAGGGGCTTCTGACATCGCTACTAGGAGCAAGGACGCTACTAGGGGCTCCTGGCCGTACTACTAGGAACAAGAAGCTATTAAGAACAAGAACGCAAAGCAACCCAGACTGAGGCCCTCGCAGCTCGGGTGCTCCATCACTCGCGGGAATGCCACCAGGTGCTGGAGTGTCCATGGCAAATGACAAAGTCTGGCCGCAAGTGCTGTGTTGCATTGGAAGAAATACACCTGTCAGCCGAAATCTGCGGCAGTAGCTCAGTGGCTAAGCAATCCACACCAATTCTATGGGTCTTTCTTGTTGTGTAAAGTCCATTTCAACGCTTGAACAAAATTACGAAGGAGCTCGACCGGCGAAAACCCAACGCTGCTGCAAGTCTTTATATATACATCTTGGTACACCAGCCGCCCTTTTCGCGAGGCCTGTCACCACCACTTCTCTTTTGGGCCCACTTGGCCCTCTCTACACCGCCGCATGGAACCGAACAAGTCAGACATCACACACACAGACACACACCACTGCCTCCATACTCTCTGACTTCAAAGTCAAAAATGATGCATGACACTACAGCATGTTGCATTTCCAGTCAAACAACATCAACGCATCCTTTGCTTTTTCTCCTTACAGTCTGTTGGAGGCCATCCCTATTAGGGGAGGCCATCGCTAGTAGGTTGGAGGCCGTCACTAGTAGGTTGGAGGCCATTGCTATTAGTATCTCTGTTTGCTTTGTTTGCTGTGTCGCCGGATACTCACGAGCTCCACCCCCTTTGTGAGATGTTGCTCCGAACTGGTGCTGGCGGACAGTCATTCGACTCCGCATGGATTCCACCACAGGATAACACGTTCGACTGACATTCTAAATGTTCTAGTCACATACAGGTCACCTTGCGCAGTGGCATGTCTTAACCATCAAATGATTTCGGGCTTTGCAGGCGATGTTCATCATGTTCCTCCTGGATGTGTTGTCTTGAGACAAGAAAATATAATGAGTAGGGCCATGTGTGCAGGCTTTGAGGAACTGGGCGGTATCCCCATGCAACCAGCCAAGCCGCACCACGCAGCATCTCGCCGTGGCTGTTGCTGCACCAACCAAGGCTGACACGCAGCTCATCATCCATCAAATCGCCGGAATTCTTCGAGTAAATTGGAAATTCGGAGGACGATTCCAATCCATTCACTGATCCTGACCATTAGCCCATCCAATTCCATCTCCAACAAGCTACCTCGGAACACTTCAGCACGATTGTTTTTCCTGCTGACCGGCACCTTCTGGCTGCTCTGAGGTCCATGCACATCATTCCGCCTACAGAGCCGGGATATGCCGGGATTATCGTGATGGCATGAGTTTCATTCATGGAAAAAAGAACAGCCCCACCCGTTTGAATCTCCAATGAACAATTCAATTCCAGCCAAAGTCCTACATGCAATGCACAGTATATGAGCCGGGGCTGGCTTACAGGCACAACAAAGCCACAAGCTGGGCTCCCTTTGCTTTGACTAGATCTTCTTTCCATCCAGCTCCTTTTCTACGTCAGCATGCAACTTCCCTTGCATTGCACCTCGTGGGCCTGATTCGTCCCATATTGTTTGAATTCAATGGTACCCTGAGGATCCCTGAGGTATCCTCTCAGTCATCTCTTTCAACTTTGCAACTGCTGATAATCCAGTGTAACACGTGGTTGGTACTACGACCACTTGTGCTATGGCTGGCCGCTTGCGCTTTGAGCCGCCGTAGCTACTTAGCATTCTATATCCATGACGATGCTTTGATCTTGTCCGGAATGAACTTAAGTGCCATGCCTTCATCTGCATAAGCAGCATGAAGTGCCTCTAGCTCAAACTTGCGTGTCATGGACCGGATTTCATCAGTGAGCAAAGGATTCCTTCGAACCTCTTCTCTTCTCAGCAACGAAGCTTGCAAAGTGTGGTCTCTCTTGGACAATGAAACACCTGCCTCTACTGGCAACTTCTTCACATCATCAGAATGCAAGCCCAACCATCGAAGCTGCTCACAGCTGGTCCGGTAAAGAAGGTAGATGGCAACTCCATCAGGATCAAAGTCTCCGAGATAAAGCTGGAGCAAATGCGGAGCAATCCGATGCAACTTCTGCAGGAAGCGCCGTGTGAGAAGGTCAGGGTAACCACGGCCTGTAACCAAGATCATTGGCAACGCTGCCAGGAGACGGCTGTGCAACAGGTGTTGGAAGATGGTGTCTTTTTCAACGACCAGCACCACTTTGGCCTTCTCGCCAATTTGAATGTTATTGTCATCCTTGAGCATAGACTCACTGATCGAAGTTCCGCTTGAACCCTGTGCAGCAAGAGATGCAAAAGCGCTTGGATCCTTGAAGGCAATGTCTCCTGACAACTCATGCAAGGTTGCAGGCCTGTTGGACCTAGGTTTGGACTCGTTAAAACATGTTTAAATTGTTGACAATTTCCCTAGTAGGCCCCAGCTAGCTCTCCTGCAAGCAGCCCCTTCTCCGCTGTGAGAATCCCCAAATGCGGGCGACCAACTTGGAGGGCGCCGACAGCATCTCGCAGCGCCCTATCCATCACTGACTGGCTGCCAAAAAGCTCCCGGCAGTCCTTGGTCAAAGAATAGCCATGCAAAATAATGAGTGGCAAAAGCCGATTGGTCTGTTTGGTTTTTGTTCCAACAGACTGAAAATGATGGTCTTGCGACTTCTTTCACTGAGAGTCGGAGATCGCCCGATAAAAGAGCTCTCGTTGTGTGCAGGTGCGCTCGGCCTTGACTGCTGCGAAGCTTTGTGTGCAAAGCTGACATTCGAGGCAAATAACAATTAAAATATAACAAAATTATAAACGAAGAAAGCTGCGGCCAAAGTTATGATATGTTTATCATTGATTATCTACCTACTGAAAATGCATCCAAATGCATCGTGTCATCAAACGATTGAGTTGGAGCCCCGCTCAACTGATGCAGTGCACCTTGTTCAAACGGTGCACTGCATCTAGCGCAGCCCAAAGCCGCGCCAGGCGGCGCCAATGCGGTGCGGTGAAGCTTAGACGCCGCCGTCGGTCTGTGGCTGCGGCGAAGGCTCCATGCTCCTGGGGGGGTCGCCCCCCCAACATTTGCTTCGGAAGTTTGGGCTGCATTTTGAACATTTTAGGGTAGTCATGGAGGGGCAAAGGAGATCACAGGAAGATACAAAGATCCAAGTCATTGAGAATGATCGAAAAAATTTTGAAGTGAGTACATCAAGTTGAGAATACAGCCCATGCTTGACAGCAGGGGGGTCAGCACCCCCCCAAAAAAAAATAATTCCGGGGGGTAGCCAAGGTAGTTTTAAATAAAGACAGTGGGTCCAACCCTGGAAAATCATCATCTAACTGAGCCATCAGAATACCTCAGCGCACTCAACTTGGTGAACATAACATGAGCTACCCCAAGGTCAAAAATTGTGAAAAAAGGCTTATGCTGGACGTCGGCTCCCACTCCACCCTGATCTTGACCTATGAGATCTATGAATACCTATGATACGTCTGTTAAACACACATGCCCAAGTTAAATGTTAAACACAACCAACCACTGGGCCCAAGACTGGACTGGGTTGCTTTTGTGGGGGCTGGCTTGGTGCCATGCAGCAATTAGATATATAAAAAACTTATGCAGTTACCCAACCTCCAACCACAAAAGACTTGTCTCTGACCATGCCTCCCCACATTCTACTTGAGAGAGGAGGGGGTGAACGAAAGGTAGCAGGCAATCACAAGTAACCCTGGTAGAAGTCCACGACGGCGTGAACCGGCGCAGGGGGGATTTGGGGGGGGGGGGGGGCCCCCCCCCGACGAACAGAATCAACTCTTACAGGACCAAATTCAATGCACAATCCCAACTCCTGATTGTAATACATTTTTGCTAAAGCAAGGAGAACTCAGGTAGCTCAAGCTACCTTTCGTGATTTTCATGCTATGTCTCTAGGAGATTTCACTGGGTTGGGTTGGACAGCACTTGTGTGGGGTGCTGTGCTTGTGTCTGTGTTTTGGGTGGCTTTCATTGGAAGGACAATTCCAATAAAATAGAATCTGCCAATCCAAAGCTAAACCCACCCTAGAACTACAACATATACCTCTTTCAGTCTGCAAACCAATTCTTATTCTAAAGCTTTCTTCCTGGACTGGGTGGCTTTTGTGGGGGGTTGGCTTCGTGCCATGCAAGAATTAGATAAAATAAAATACGTCTGTTAAACACAACCGAGTTGGACTTTGAAAGTTAAATGTTTGGACTTTTATCGTGGTAAAAGAAAAAACAAAGGTTCGGTGCTGTGGTACAAAAGTCAAAACATGTTGTGACCAAAGATTTGACTCCACAAAGGTTCGTATCCTAGGAACACCTTTATCACCTTTTACCTTTGAATAAAAAACCTTGAGTTTCCACTGCGAACTAATGACTGGGACGGTGGAAACTCAAAAGTAATTTTAAGTAATTTGAGGTGGGTCCTCATATACTCAAACGTAAAAGTATTTGTAGTTGAACGCGCTCGCTTCCCAAGATAATGAAAATAAAATCAACCAGTGCTGAGGTTCAAAGTCATTGTATCACTACTGATGTTATTTGAAAAAAGAAGAGAAAAACTTCTCCAGCCTCAGCCTCACATTCTATAATAGATTCTTTGGAGCCAAGGTCCATATCTTCCAAACACAAACAGCTTTTTTAAAATAAAAATTTGACTTTTTTGTGCTCTGGAGGGGGCTGAGGTCCTACATTTTATTTTCTATGCCCAGACCCCAATGTTGAGAATCAGGTCTGCCCAAAAATCTAGGAACCAAATGATTATATAGTGCGAGTGCTTCTTCAAGGAAGCTCCCCCCCGCCGCCCTAAAGATTGAAGAAGGGTGAACTATCCTGCGTCCAGCTACTAGGAGCTAAAACCGTTACTGAATCAAATTAAGTAGGTATACGTATATTTATATATAGTGTGTGTGTGCCGGAAAAAATATCTTATCTAGCCTCGAGACACTGCCTAGAATGGGTCAGCCCCCATCGGTTGTGCAGGTTTGCAGGGTTGGCTCTCAAGCTTTGTTGGTGGCATCAAGCTTGCCATAGTTTGGCACGCCAACAGCGAGGGCACGAATCAACTGCAGCTGTGGTTGTACAAGTTGTGGGGTAGCTGCTTTTCCATGGGCACAAACATGTTCACAGTAGTGCTTGTACAAGTTGTGGAGGAGCTGCTTTTCCATGGGCACAAACATGTTCAAAGTTCAAAGTGGGCATCTTTCGGCATCGGTTGGGGCATCGGTAAGGCTCTGCGGTGAGAAGGCTAATTCAGTGGTTGGAAACTTGTGGGTCTTGCAACACGTCTTGTATACTGCCGTAAGCAACTCAATCTCAAACTGAGAACAAAGCAACATCCAAGTTTGCGCCAGCTACAAATGTAAAATGGCAGCGTGCTTCCCAAAGTGGTTGGTACATCAAAAGGGCATCGGTTGAGTATGCGCTAGATTTTGTCGGATGCTCATATTTACCGGTCGCCTAAACTTGGTCTCGGTACTTGCTCCGCCAACCTAGTAGCTTCTTGTTACTAGTAGCTACTTGCTCCTAGTAGTACGGCTAGGAGCCCCTAGTAGCGTCCTTGCTCCTAGTAGCGATGCCAGGAGCCCCTAGTAGCTTCTTGTTCCTAGTAGCTTCAAGCACTATAAAGTTCATCAAGTGCACCTGGATCAAGCTATGGCACGGCTCAAAAAGCAGCACAGCGGCAGGTGCAGCCTTTGCCTGCTCCAAATTCAAGCAAACTTGTGTGATTGTCCTTTTCAGCGAGTTATATCATTATATTATTCTTATCAAATTCAGCTGTACACAAGGACTGGCCTTTGCAGGTGAGTGCTGCTTGTGCCCAATTCTCCCAGCGGCTCTAAGTCAACTAACTACATGGCTATTATTTGTTGGCTGCCCACCCACAAGGCCTGGCTGAGTTGAGCAGATTTCAGCGCATCAACAACGCAGCGAAGCACGTTGTGAGTCAACCTGTCAGGAGATGTCGGCAGCACAAAAAGTGCAGTTCACGTTCACCTCTTGCCCCATTCCACGTTCCTAGTGGTATGGTCGTGCACCAAAACAGGTTTGTCCCTCCCTCTCTGTTTTGTTGTGCCACCTTCCTACCTCTGACCTTGTTCCCAGTCCTATCAATGTCAATATCCCTCTCCACTTTTTCTCTTGTAGCCTGCCATGCCCTGCTGATCCGATCTGGCCTAAAACATCCTATCCTAAATTCTTAAACAAGGTGCGTGCACGGATAGTGAACCCACCCCTTGGTGCAGCTTCACCCAGCCTACATCGCTTCACAATCACTAGGGAATAATTGATGGTAGATGGAGGACCCTTGATGGCAAACGGTAACGGTGAATCATTGCCCAGGCATACGATGATGACTTTCGGTGTTACATGAGGAAGTCGAAGCCCCTGCCTCTCAACAGCCATCACCACTGTTGTGGAAGAGGTCGATGCCTGATGAGGGCAAGTTCTGAACATTGTGTAAGAAAGGAAAATATGTAGAAACAATGTGTTGATGCGGAGCTAAAGCCAACTGTCCTTTTATTTGGTGGCAGATTGGAGAGAAGGAAAATATCCTAGCTCAAACTACTTCGGCCAGGCAGTGGTGCCCAGGTCCCAAAGTTGTTTGCTGAGCCTATGACCCTTGGCTCTGCCATCTTTGGGTACAGATGGTTGGCGACGGTTCCAAGTGTATGTCACTGAGCCAGTGGCTGCGGAGGTGTTGCGAGGCTTAAACACAACGAATGTTGTACGGCCGCCTTTTCATTTATGCTCGCGGTGTATCCTCAACAAGTGTCTGGTCCAGGATTGCGTCAGCACTTCACCGCGGGTCTTCTCTGCAAGCACCATGCAAAACACAAATTTGCTGAGAAATCAAAGCTCTGGTAGCGGCCGCCTTGATTCGCGAATAGATGTAGATGACAAAGAAGTACGTGCAGTAGAAGGAGACCTAGCTCAAGTCTCAGGAGGACGGCCAACAACAACTGGTTTGTTGGCAAGCATGATCAATCATGACTGCCTCTTTGGATAGATTATAATATATCATGATAGATTTAAAAGTTTTCGAAACATGAGAGCATGCGTGGAATTGGCCCGGGATCGACCCCCAAAGCAATCAAGAAATATATCAGAGCATGTCAGAGCTAATCGCACCTACTACGCATTTTATGCCTTCTACCTTAGGGGGGTCATCTATACCCTCCCTGATTAAGTACAAATATATATATATACTCATCCGGGAGTACAATCCTACCCTGCCCAAGTGGTGGATTCAGAAACAACAAACATTCAACAATCAGTCAGAAATTGAGTTAAAAAAGGTCAGGAAGGCCTTGACCTAATTTATCTGCGCAATTTGAGTCCTGAAAATGGTGCTTGGAAGTAACTCAATAGGGATACGGATAAAGTGATTTGCGCTAGTTGTTGGTGCATTTTGGCCCCACAGCCATATCCGTTAGCATCTTCTTAAATGTGTCGTGGTCTGTTTCCATTTCTTTCCTGTAGGTGTCTATCAAACCATGTAACATCTGATTGAAACTCACAAAAAACTCTTTTGTTGTTCGCCAGCACAAATGATGCGCAGCAAATTGAGATTCAATCAGTATGAAATTAATCAACAGGTAGTACGCGACTAGTAACAAAGGGCATCGCTCCTGGGAGCAAGAACGCTACTAGTAGCTACCGGTCTCACTACTAGGACGCTACTAGTAACAGAGGACGCTAATAGTGTCAAGTTCTCTCCATTCTCTGAGTTTCACACGTGGCTTCCCCCACCCCCCCTTGAATCCACCCCCTTCAGGAAATGACTCCAAACAATTGAGAAGGGCCTTGGATTCATTTCCTGAGGTTGCGCGTATTGCATGTTTCGCTGGTTGCTACGGGCCCAGCATGACCAGACCACCAAACGTCACTTAAAATGTCCAGGACACCTTCAAAACACGACTCATGACCACGAACCACATTCGACATCGGAGCGCCCACCGGCATGTGGACCGGTGGCGCCCGACCACCAACATAGGACCCCTAGCTGTAGCTTGACGCTATTGGGGAACAAATGCCCTTGTGGAAATCGCAACCAAGCTGTCTCGCCAAGAGCAAAGGAATGGATGCATGGCCCTTGCACTTAACAAGCAAAGGTTCGCTTCGGTTTTCCAGCCATGCACTTAACACGAGCATGCCTAAAGAATGTATAAAAGCCCTGCCAGCCCTGCAAGCGACAAGAAATTGGTACAAATGGACTGTAAGGCTATGGCAGGCTACCGAGGTCTCAGCTCCTTGATGTCCAGGGCACTATGGAATTTGCTTATTGTCGTTTGCTTCCAAGGCACGCAGCCCAACGTCAGCGCAATGCCATGAGCAGCTAGTAAAGAGTAAAGAAAGAAGAAAGAGCACCTCAGCTCTTGGACAACAAATCGTTAATGGACTCCATCGAGAATTTCAGCGTATTTCGCAAACAACTCCTAGCAAGTTTGTCGGAATTCGTGGCTTCTGCAACAACATATCATTGCTGCCTGTTCAGGAGATGCTACAATTTGGGTCAAACGTCCAACGGCATCTTCTTAACTGGTTTCTCGGACGGTCATCTCGAAGTGAAGGGACTCCTGAAGCCAGCCGAAAATTAGGACATTGGTTGCAGCAGTTCTCCTTGATCACCAGGCACGCAAAAACATAATAACCAAGTCACCCCACTCCGTGCCACCGATGAACACAAAAAGGATCAAAAAGGATTAGGTTGAGGCTTCTGAGATGTGGGGGCCCGCGCTGCAGGAAACCTGTCATCCCTGTCTGAAGGAAGAAGTAAATGCAATACCTGTTGGCAAAGAAGTAAATGTAATCCAAACTCCGAAGTCAGTTGGAAGCAAGAGCCTCGACTCATGAAACGATGGTAGATTGATAGGAATCGTATCAATAAGTATATTATATAATACATATGCATAAGCTGCATAAACTCAATCAAACTCAAGAGCAAGAAAGGTATACTCAAAATCTTGGCAGGAGAATGAGTTGTGTTTTGGTAGAGTAGTGTCAATCAAATTTATTGGTATATTATGGGAATCTTGACAATGCACAGGATTGAATCTGTTGTAAGAGTGAACTCTTCAAATCAATCCAGAAGCACACTACCAATGCTGAGTGCGCACAGGTAGAAAAATACCGATACTGCAACTCCCGAGCCTCGGCAAATCGAAATCTAAATCCTCTACAGTCAAACCCTGGTCAGAAAGGATAAAAGGATTTTAGGCCCCTTTAACATCAGACGTGCGCAACGTATCACTCTATCACATCTTGTTGTTACAAAATCAAAAGCAAAGCCAAGGTCATCTTCTAAGTTCAATTGCAGGGTCCAAAATCGCTTAGGAAGTCAAGGACGTCCAAAGACATGGTTGAATATATACCAGTTTGTCTGGGATCAGGAGCAGAAAGCTCTCCACCACCACCGGTGGTCCTGCTCATATCAGAGCCCGTATTAAATTTGCTGCAATCAACTGATCTGCAAATATGACAACAGGCCTCTGCATGCTACGCAACAAAAGCACCTAGCCTATATACAGTATATAGTTATGCCATAAATCATAAATGCATGTCTGGAGGTCAAGACCTCTTTTCAATGGAGATGCTCTGAATTGCGGCCCGATCCTCTGCATTCAGGTGGAAGTATGTGAACAGCACGGTGACCTTGGAGTGCAAACCAAGCGACAGTGTGATCGCGGCATCGTGCACTTCTTACACCTTACACCTGACAGCCTCAGTATCCCCATAGCTTTTCCAACTTAACAGCCCCTGAAGTATTGGCAATGCCACATCGCTAAGCTCATCTTGCCATCTAAGGTGTGAGCTGTTCCTGCCACTAGCAACAGCATTGTAAATGCCAAGAGGAGAATACCTTGGCAACTACAATTGTTACAAGTCAGTAGAGAGTAGGAGTGCAGGCCTTTAGGGAGCTTGAAAGAGCTGCAAGTTGTTGATTTAAATTGTGTTGGGTCGTGAGCCTGAAAACATGCCTTGCACCATCACTCGGAACATATTTTAAACGGAAGAGAAGCACTACGCTGCACACGATCGTTTTTCTGTTGGACACAACACCATTTTCATTGAGCTGTACTTTCCTTGACACAACTCTCACTAACCAAGCAAATCTCTCTTTCTTGTACGGCACACATTTTGCTGTGGATGTTCCATGCAATAAACATGCCCGTCACATCTTGACATGCTCAAGGACTTTTCTCATCGGCATCTTACAAGGACGCCTATTCCCAATGAGCAGCTCTTGGCAAGTTGTTGAGGATCGAGCCGTAAAGAAAGTATATCCGCGGACCCCAGACCTGCAAGCACAATGAACATCTGATCTTGCCAAGAATGCCGGCCAAGACTCTTAGACCCGGAAAATCCAGGCTGTAACAACACCAACCATTGGTAATTTGGAGGCCAATATGCTTGCAACCCATGGAACAAAACTGTGAATATGTAATCCTGAAATGGACACAAAATCCCTTTTAGATTGTGCTCGTGTACTGCATCGTGTACCGCAAAATTTCCCTAAAAATCCGGGAACCAAATCATTAGTGCGATCGTTTCTTCAAGGAAGCTTCCCCCACCGCCTTTAGGGTGGCGGGGGGAGCTTCCTTGAAGAGCCGCGAGCTGTCCTGCATCCTAAGTAGTAGCTACTTAAGCTACTAGCTACGTCCTACCTAGCTACTACCTCTACGGCCTACCCCCCTTTAAAAAAGAAAACAAGTACAACGTTTAACTGCCAAACACCAATTTGATCTACTGTAAATTTCAACCGTCGAGCAACAAGTCCGTCAACTAGGAGCGGTGTGTCCAAGTTCCCCAGCCGAGTTGAAGATGTAGTGTAGCTCTATGTAAATCGCACCTGTGACAAACATTGACAAACCATTGCCACATAGATATTTGATATTTCATATATTATATATAATATGTAAACAATAATCTTGTTACTCTATATAGATTTATGTAACATAATCTAGATATCGGTGCGTGTGAAAGATTGGCACAATAGGGCTAGGCTTTATATAATATATCTGGGCATGTTTGACCTGGTGGTTGCACAAAGTTTGCTTGAAAAAATGTGACGTGCACAAAATAAGTCCAAAGTTCCTTGCTCGAGGGTGAATGCCTACAGAATTCTACAACTACCCATTCTCAGCATACCAAGCAAAAAGGCTCTCAAGACAAGCTTGCACAGGTTCTGCATGGTATCATGGTGTCTTAGCTCATGCATCTGGTGCTGTCCCTGGCTCAGACAAGTGCTGAAGGGCAGAAAGCCCGATGCAAACATCTGCGTGATGGGGCTTTGGTACCTACGCAGCAAAAAGACCGTGCATGAAAGACCAGAAAACAAACGCGTCAACCAGGGGGGCACCAACGGCAAGCTGGGATCTCCCTTGCAAGCTTGTTGGTCTTGCATGGGAAAGGGCTTCCTTCTGCCTCCCAGTTTCACGATTCAATCGCTGGGCGAAATGTCTCCGAGCAGCTTCAATCCAAGGGTCTGGCTAACAAGAATGGGAGAACTATACCAATAGTATACTTCTCCCCGTGACTTCCAATGGGATCGTCTTCCAAATGATCATAGTAGATCCAAGTTCAATAAAAAAGAACTGTCAACAATGAAAGGTGCTGCTGGGTAATCTAATTGAAGTCAACAAACTTCGTAATAGCTTTGGCTTTGTTGCATGTGAATGTGTCCAGCAACTGCTTGCATGGTAAAACATGGTGTCAAGTCTAGATAGATAATCTCTGTGACTGTCAGCAAGGTGTCCCTTCGTCAACAAAACATGTTCACATGCTCAATTGTTGATTGTGCGCGTGCGCTGGGTCAGATTCACTCATAGAAATGCTGCTCTCGAATCTCTGGGATAGATTAAGGAAGACTGCTCCAATCAGCATTGGACAACCCAAAGGCATTGACAACTATATCTAATTATTTAATATCGATTAATAATTATCTATACAGTATATTTGTCTAACCTAGCCGTGTGAACCTCACACAACACACGACGTGCTTCCAACAGGTTTAACAAGTGCTTTGTCTCCCAGCCTGAGCCTGCTTGATGGACCGGTGTCGTCCTTGTGTCACTTGCCCAACAAATCCCAACAGCACATGTATGAATCATGAAGTCATCCGAAAGAGAAATGGGATGAAATAAAGTAAAGTTGGATCGTTTGCAAAGTCCAAAGCTTCCCTCTGGGAACCGCACCAATGATGCCGCCCAGTACAGTGAGCGGGAAGGTCACGCAAGCCCACATCGCAAACATCAGCAATCTGCGGTGGTCGGCGTGGTGGCCATTACTCTCAATCGTACTTCACTTGATGGCTTTGGTGAAATGGGGGAATTTTGAGAGGCAAACTTGCAGCCGGAAGCGGAACCTTCTGAGTAGCCATTTTCGCAGTTTGTTGCTTTCAATTTTGATACAAGCAAGCTATTCTATCATGTCCATCCTGTGATGCAACTTGAATACTCAAAACGTGATAAATAGTGTTTCGATTTGTCGCACAACTTGCACAAACCTCTGAGAAGCTGGCATGGTGGGAAAGGGAAATGCTGCCGTTGACCCATAGAAAATGGCCACGGTGTTGAGAAAAGACCTTGGCTTATACCCAATCTGCGAAGCCACCGCAGTATACTGCAGTTGTCGCAACAAGGGATATAACAGTATCTGTCCATGTTTGAAAAGACTCTATCAGTGCCCGTGGACATTGAGCAAGGACTCTTATGTTTGCTGGCAATCATCACGCGTTCATACAACTAAGCTTCCCATTTCCCTACTGGCTAAGCCTGCTAAGCTTGATGAACGTCGTTAGATCCTTTTCCCTGTTATCAACTTAACACCCTGCTTGGATCCGTGCCAAATCAAAAAGGCGGGACCCATAAAGCACAGCGCCGTGATGAAGATGTTCCTGGCAGGGACATGGGCTTGCCCCAATTGCCAACTGCAAGTAGGATCAATTCCAAACTTCTCTCAGAAAAATGCCATCCTGGATGCCCTACTCCACCTTGCAAGCGTGCTGGTGGGACCATGCCCATTTCTCTCCCCCGAGCTTCTGGTACAGGTTGGCACTGACGAATCCGCCCAACAAAGCTGTCACCTTACGAGCCACCCGCTGATTTCGGCTGCTGGAACTAAGTTGTGAAGCACAAAGTATCAAGAACAGCAGCGCATCTGGGCTTCCGAGCCATATAGGAGATGACTGCAGCGGAGGCTACTGCTCCACGTTGGTAGTAAGTCCCGATGCAGCCCACCAGGACCACCATGAACATCATACTGCCAGGTGGAGTCCGACAGGCAAACCATTTGCTCTGCTCTATCTGCTCTAGCCCGCCCTCTATCCCACGCCAAGTTCTGATGTTGCAATCCTAAAAGACAATTACAATACAGAAAAAGATACCACAGCAGGACCGGAAGCTTGACATTGCTTGACCAGAAGCACCTGGTAAGTTGGGCACCAGCTCCGACTGCCTCAGCCAAGGTGCAGGGTGGCACCAAGCTACTGTGATTCCATTAGGACTGTTGAATCCGTTTCACATCCAGTCTTTCATCCTCGCACAGGATCCCGACAGAACAGAAGAACAGCCGATGCTTTGGAGCACGGAACACATCGGCATGCAGAAGCTTCCAACCTGTCCGTCCATCAAGCCCTCTGGGTCATGTGCCCAATCATGTTTTCTCAAGCCCAGGCACAGCATTTTAAGGACACACAAATCTCTGGACAGTCTCGCTGCATCTCGCTGCCTGTCTCTTCTTCTACTGCATTCAGCTCCTCATCGGGAATCTGCAAATATCTTGACAAATCCTCAGTGGGGTGTTCCCCAATGTGACAGTTAGCAAGGCAATAAGCCCGGAGTTCTAGACAGAGCTGGATCATTTAACAAAGGCATCAAAGCATCCCCGAATTCCAAATGTTGGAACTCGAACTAAGCTTCCAGGCTGATCGGACCACTCTGATGATGATCAGGAGGAAAAGTGACCTGTATTTATATAGGTGGGCCGTCATAGACTGCGAACATCTGCGAAGTGTGAACTCTCAATATATTCAATATCATTCAATTGTAGTCACTCTAAATAAGCTCTGACATATCAACTTCGATCGGCTTTTGATTCCTCTATTAACTACTCCATGCGCATGAGGTAGTGAGATCCCCACAGAATGAGCAACATCAGCACGAATGAGTTGATGATCGCAAGCCAGTGAATGTCCATGTTTGAATGCCTGGTGCAGGTGCGAGTGCACGTATTCATACAGCAAATTTCACAAAATCAACTCTGCAGCCCTCAAAAACGTTATTCTGAACACCCCACCCGTGTGGCATTGTGGACTTCAGCTGCAGCTCCAGCGCTTGAGATGGAGGAATGTGTGGCCTCAAAAGCAGCGAGCTATCTGCTATCAAGGTAAACAGACAAGAAACCATGGAAAAACTGAACTTATATCATCTGTATTATAGTCTTATATATATACACTCTTTTATATATACTGTATAGTATATATACTTAAAGAGTGCAAACTCTCGAGGCCTTACAGTTTATCCATTCAATTTGTGTTTTAGCAGGTGGTGATTTGAAGGGATCTATGGCGAATCTATGGTGCTTCCTGTTTATCTGTGGGGGTTCTGGCGATCTGTCGCGATCTGTGATGTGAGAAGGTCTGCAGTATATAGTTTGGTGTGATTGGTAGCGATGTCCAGGAAACTGCTCTTAACCCGCAAATACTTGCTGTGCTTGCTGGTCGTTCGAATGCAATCCATGAACTGTGGTGATTTCTCACGATTCAATATGCAATCTGTAATCGATTCCTCTTTGTCTTGCGATCTGTGCTGACCTGTGACATGTGAATTGTGGAAATCTATGGCGTGGTGATTGATGGTAAGGCTTGCTGACGTGAGTCGGCCTGCAATGAGATTGATGCAAATTGATTTGATTATATTGACCTGAGAAGGGGGGGAACGAAAGCCAGCAGCCGCCAGACGAGAGGGTCAAAAGAAGAAACCATCTAAGTAACACATGCTCACTAGGACGATGGCAGGCACTGTATGCTTCAACATGAGTGTCACCAAGCGTCATCCTAAAATATTGCATAGATCCGTGACTATAACAAGTCCTTCAACGACACCAATCTCTTCACCCCACGAAGTTGCTATCTACACGGGCCCCTTTTCTGATAGCAACTTGTCGCTGCCAACCAACTACTATACTTGCCCCAATACATCCAACCAGACTTCTCTGAATGGATTAGGAGGATGGCAGGAACTATATGCCTCAGCATTGGTGTCACCAACCGTCATCCGAAAATATTCCACAGATCCGTGATCAAACAGCAATCTCTTCACCCCACCAAGTTGCTATCTACACGGGCCCCTTTTCTGATAGGTACTCGTCGCTGCCAACCAACTACCATACTGGCCCCAATACATCTAACCAGACTTCTCAAGTATAGTAGAGACTAGGATGGTTGCTCTGTACATGGGCGCCTGTCTCCACTCCAGTGCTCAATGCCCATTGTCCAAATGGCCTCCACAGCCCTTCATGACGCTAATGATGCACTACTCGGCGTCCATTGCATCACTCGCATCACCAGACCCCATTTTTCACTGCTTTTCTGACCCTCGCTTTGGAGCGCTCTCCCCAGGCAAGCTCCGGGTTCACCCTCTCAAATGGCGCCTTTTCGCCTCCTACCCCCCCCCACACCCCCTTAACTCACTTCGTTCGGTCTATAAGCTCAAGCCTAGCCTATCGGCTGGCTTTCGTAATATTACTATTACTATTACATACCTGAATTGGCCTCTCACACCAGGAGCAAATCGAATGAACTCTTTCAATTCAAGTTGGAGGAGGCTTCGCGCTATGGGCTGTGGATCAAAGCTCCTGGCAGTGGCGTCCAATGAACGGAATAGGAGAATTGGACCACCTCAGCTCAGCTGGTGGCCATTTTCCGCTGGACTGAAGTATTGATTGATGTGCCTTCTGAGCAGCTTCATGTAAAGGACTTGTCGTGTATCTATCTCTCTCTCTCCCTTCAGGTCAGCGTTTCAACACAACTCATATTCAACATCTTTCAACAGGCCCGCGCTGGTTTGGAAGCAACCAGAAGTGGGCGCCTCTAGTTTCTCTTCAAGACTCTTGAAGCTTAAGGTTTCTTGGGGCAAAGCCATGTTTTCCTTCCATTCAGTGATGTCCACAAGGTGCTCCGGATTCAGCCTCAAAACTGCACCCCGGAGCGCATCAGAAACTGTTCGGAGAGAGCATAAGGCATCCAGCGTTCCCCCAACATACAGCAAAGAAACCTAATAACGACGGCGATGACCAACCTAATGTCGATGGCCTCCAATCTACGAGCTATGGCCTCCAACCTAATAGCGATGGCTTCCAACCTACTAGCTATGGCCTCCAACCTAATAGCGATGGCCTCCAATCTACTAGCTATGGCCTCCAAC